TGGCAAATAGTATTTCCAAATGCATATTTAAAAGCAAGTGTTGAAAGAAGCTACATATTAAGATTATAAGAGGAAGATTACAACAATTGCTGGAAATATGCAACATACTAATAATGAGCCAATTTGAAAATAATGTGTTCACTCTAGGGCTGTTTCCTATTTTGTTGACATGGTTAAATCCAAGATTATTAAATGCACCTATTCTTCCCCGCCAAAGGGTTAATTCAATGCACATCAAAGATGTAGTTTGTGGGAACCCAGGATAATGCCAGACTGAAGTAATTTTCTACATGGATGCAAATATAAAGACTATACATGACAGTAAAAGAATATTATCTGTCTCCCTGGATAAATAAGTCAACATTCAAACATGTATTGACTTAATTTGACTCTTACTTAAGGTTCTAGTCGATAGGCTGATTGCTGACCTTATTTAGAGTCATAGCAACATAATACCATATCATTTTCAAGGATTCACATAAATTCAGTGAGCTGGAAACTGCTTTTAGATGCCAATTATATACTTTATCATTCCATGAATTGATTCATGCCTCTCCAGTGTGAACATTTTGTACACATCTAAATAGTAACCAATAGGAAAGTACCCCAATACCAACTCACTGAAGTTTGAAAAAACCTTGTAATAGCTCACCATACACAAAAGTTATATATAGGGTATATAATACCAATTCAATGCAACTTAAAGTTTATAAAAAGAGACTTGACCAATAGAAACAATATGACCTTTGTTTCAAAGGGCAGTGTCACCATGGTATTGGTATGTATGTAATACAGAGTAACTGTATATGCGTTGACAGTTATGCATCAGGTGTCAAAAGAATCAAAACAAAGAGATATAAGTTAATATACATGTAACTTCATGAAAGAAAAAAGCAAATGCAGTATTATTAGAAGATTATAACAACAATGATTATCATGAGCGATAATAGTTTCATTTGCACTGAGAATGAAACAAAGAAAATATAAAATGTCCTATCTGCAGTTCATTATTGAATGTGTATGCAAAATATAAGGTTTAACTGTAGAGTAACTTTTCTACTGTACTACAATACATGATTTTTGTACTGTATTTTACCTGTAAATAAATGTTCAATAGCACTACAGAATACAAATGTCCCCATTGACATGATTGTGTCAATGCTTGGCATTTAGGCATTGGAGAAAATGTCCCCCTCAATATGGTCAGTTACCTTGAATAGTTTTACCAGTCCCCTTTTGTTTTTGGCAAATATTTTCCCATTGCTTGACCAGGCTTGATCCACATTGTCATTGTTCTTCAGATCAAAAAGCAATTTCCTGTTCATTGGGCTAAGATATTCAAAGACTGTAATGCCACTCCCTTTCAGATGTTTCCTATTCTTAACAACCTCTTCTTTTTTGGGGCGAAACTTGAATTTCACAATCATTTGTCGAGGTGTATTATCAGTACGGAGTTTGCCAATACGATGGCTTACTTCGATATCGCTTGGAGAAATATCTATTGGTAGTTTCTCTCCAAGGATGTCTGCAACCACTGTGGAACAGATTTCGTTCTGAGATTCTTTTATACCAAGTATATTAATCGTGTTCTTCCCACTATACTGTGCATTGTGGTTGACTGCTTCCTGGAGTGAAGTTACTGTAGACTTCATGGCTGTGTGGTTTTGTTCAAGTTCATGAATACGTTCTTTTAGGCTCACATTTTCACTTTCTAATTTTGTAACTCTACCCTCTATTTGACCAACGGCTTCTGTTACAGCGTTTTTAACAATATCACCAACATTGTCCATCTTAGATTTGAAGTTTGAGATGTCACATGAAATATTTTTCATGAAAATTTCTAATTGTTTCTGGAGAGGTGAAGACTGAGTCTGGTGCTCTTTGTCTATTTCAGTACTGTATGAGAAACTATCATCAGATGACATATTTGCTTCTAATCTGTCCCTTTTATGAGGGGGTTTCACAACATGAGCAATTGGTGTACTTGTTGACCTTGAAGGTGTTGGTTCATTTTCAGATGTGAGGAAGGTTGTAATTTTCTGATTTGAAGAGGCCATTATTGTTTATTCCAGTATGGGTTCACTATAATAAGTCACTAACCTGATAGTTTATATGTTTAGCTGCAATGTAGGTAGTTTATATCCATTTGAATGCACTATATAACATGGTAAATCCAACTATTTAGGAGAGACAGAAAATGTGACTTTAGCTGTCGGCCATCTTGTTTCAAAAAAAAGTACTCAAGTACTCAAAGTATCCTGTGGGATAGATCTAACTCTCAGTTCAGAGATTTCGAATTTAATCCGTTCCTTTAGACTAGAAGATGCTCAACCAAAGGATTTATTACCAAAGTGGGACCTTGTTTTTGTACTCAATGAACTTTGCAAAGCCCCATATGAACCTATGAGCTCAGCAGATTTAAAATTTGTCACTTGGAAGGCACTTTTTCTACTTCTGTTGGCATCAGGCAAAAGGAGGTCAGACATACATGCCTTAGACTTGAGAAGAATTCAATGGACTAAGCATAATTTAGAGGTTTATCTTTACCCCTTCATAGGATTTTTACCTAAATCATTATCCTGTGCTGAGGGACAATCAAGATTTCTTCCAATCCACATTAAATCGTTGATACCGTTTGTGGGGAACGAAACACCAGACAAATTCCTGTGCCCGATCAGAGCGTTACGTTATTATTTACAATCTACAGTCTCTGTTAGAGGACCTCGGAATAGACTGTTTATCCCTTACAAGAAAGGGTGTAATACAGACATTCATCCTAACACATTGTCTTCATGGATGAAACAACTTATTTCTTGTGCATACAAAAATGCTTCTCAAGAAAGTAAACATTTAGGGAAGATAAGGCCACATGAAATTAGAGCCATATCTTCCTCACTAGCGTTACAAGCTAATTTATCCATCACGTCACTGTTGAAGACTTGCTCCTGGGCTTCCCACAATACCTTCACCAACTATTACTTGCGGGATGTCACGGTGATGGAGAAGGAACTTCACAAACTTGGTCCAATGGTTCTGGCTGGAACTGTCTGCAACCAATAATTTGTAAGTATTACTTTGGCACTTAGCAATTGGACCCTAGAAGGACACTGGTTAGATGTCAGGAACATTACTGCATTGTAGAGGGGTGCTCTGTTGTTCAGTTCGTCTGACTTCAGTAACGCCCTTGAAGACCTACATAGGGGCTTGTCACTGTTGTAACTTTGTTCATCATACCTGCCTGCTTCTTAGCGCATTATAGATATGGTTTTCACCAAAACTATGATACCTAAGACATCATGCAGTCTCCATCCAGGATTCAATTTTGGCTAGGATTTTGGATGGTTAAACCACAACTGATGTTTGTCTCTGGTTGACACAATAGGATGGTAATATGTTTTTATTCTTTGGCTTGTAATGGGGTTGTTTTTTCCCTCCACCATAGCTTTTTATTCAGCATATGTCATGGAATAGGTTGGATTGTATGTAATTGTGAAATTTTACAATGTATTTTCTATTAATTACAATACAAACCTATTCCATGACCATAGGCCCACCCGGCCTCCCCGCAGTCTCTAGAAAGTTAGTACAGTCTGCGATTTTTTTATGAATATTCAATGAGATAGTGGGCGACACCTATTGGGTCACTACCAGGGACTGATCATTTTGTATTTATTTATTTTTGGGGACTTGCCTCTTGTTCCAAAAGGGGGATTAAGCATATGTCATGGAATAGGTTTGTATTGTAATTAATAGAAAATTTACATTGTAAAATTTCACACCTTCAGACCATTCTAATAAGCGTCCATATACATGACAAAACTGAAAAAGTCCAAAATCTCCTGGAATTTCAAGTATGGAAATTTTTTAACATTCATGTGACCAATGTTCAATTTTTATTACCACTAATAAAAATGTTCCAGCAATACTAAGCAATTTATCGGGGAATATTAAGCAAGCACTCCCTGTTTTTGCCGGGAATGTCTATTATATGACGACAATTGGTTATTAAGGCCAAGTAATTACCCATTACAGAAACGTACATGAGAGTTATTTACTACAGTGTAAAGACAAGGGCAATTATCAGGTTAAGTGTGATGCAATAAAACACACAGAGAGCCAAGTGTGAGAATACCAATGATGTCGTTTGTGTCCAAATAACATTACCCTAAGAAACAAGACATTTAAATTCTACACACTGGAGGTCTTGAATGAAATCAGTTTTGGTAGTAGTTTCTATGACTTCATTAACCTCTTGACTACCACGAGTGACGAGATAATCCGTCACAAAATTTTTCACTAAAATTGCTCTTATTTGAACAATTTTCATCCTATTAACTGCGTTAGTTGCATTCGCGAATACAAGGAAAGGCTTTTGATTGGAAAGGCTAAACCAAGAGATTATTTCTTTTTGAGAAAGTGAAGATAAACTTTAGAGCTGCTAAGTAGAACTCTTTAAAAGGGTATATAACAATCATTAACATACATAGCTTGTCTAGATGGCAATGCAACCTTAAGAATGAGGTTAGACCTTTTATTCTTTTATTGCCAAAGAGCACGGAAAGTCTTTGAATCAGATAATTCAAGATTATTCTAGATTGAACTGGATATTTGACAAAAATGGACTCTGACAGTTTCAATAGATTTATTCTCAAATCCAGTGTTATAAACCATTTTCTCTTTCTGAAAGCAGCAATAATATATCATATTTTGAAATTATTTAAAAAACTCCTTTCAAAAATTCCTGTATGATCACAAAGTGTGCGATAAAAAGATTATATGAGAGAATGGTCAGCTGCTGGTTAATCACTTGTGGTTAATCTTAATAGAGACAGACTTCTAGCTATCTTGGCTAATACAATGGAAGCTATAATTATCCCAGTGATCAATAATTTTAAAACAACAGCGGCTAGACTGCTGCTCACAACTTGCTTAACTTTTCTACGGCTTTGTCTTCAATATCATTTATATTACCATGGATACAGATGATACATTGCGCTTACCTTTTGGCCTGTCAAGATAATCTTTGACGCTGCGTCACTCTTCCAAGCATTAGGATCTTCATCAACAGCAGTGACTTTTGACGTGGAATCATCTTTCTTTGTCAATTTAGCAGTATTTACAAGAATTGTATTAGTAACCTTTTGTACAAGACGTTCGCTGCCAAATTCACCTAAAAAGTTATTCAAATTAAGAATTAAATAAATAAAATCTCTTAAATTATTATGAGTGCCTTGACCAGGCACCTGTTTAAACACGTAGGGACAACGAGCAGGAAATAAAAGTGACTGTTTTTTTTGTTGTTTAAAGCCACCACAAACATTCCATTTTTGAAATGCATGTTGTTCTGAATAGAGTATGTGACATTTTTCCCTATTATACATGTCAAATTTAATCTATGGCAACCGCGGGGGGGGGGGGGGGGGGGGGGGGGGGGGCGAAGCTTCTCAAAATTAAGAAAAATATGCAGCATAAAATACAGGGATAAGCAGTACAATATAAATTTTCGATTTTGAGAAGCTAAGACCGCCAATGCTAGAGTAAATGCGAGAGTAAATGCTAGAGTACAAGATCTAGAATAGTAAGCTGTTGAGGAAGCCATTTCGAATGAAAATTCACATTAGGTTAATTTAACAATCTTGGTCATTTTAAAGCCACTAGTTTTGCAACCACGTACCACACAATATAATTTGTCATAATTATGCTTTACCTGGAAAATGCTTCTGCACTAGTTTCTGTGCCACTTCATATACATTGCTGTTCAAATCAGGGATGGATTCATACTGAAACCAAACCACCTTCTCACCAACAACTTTGCCAGCCCACTCAAGCGTAATTGGAAATCTAAAAAATGTTCAACATTTTAGAATGTGATTTAAAGCAAATAAAATATTATTATTACCTATCTTTGACAAATTCAAATTGATTCTTAAAAATATGTCAAAAAATTCATGTCATTCATTGTCATTGTAATGCCATCAGAGTCAATAAAAGACATACAGTATATATATAATAAAAATCCCTTAGTGAATTACTGAATGCCATTTCACATGTGTTTTGAAGAGATTGCTCCATCTCTTTTTAAATCAGCTTACATTTCTGGTATGTTGTCATATTCCTTGCCGTCCCAATAATGCTTGAATCCACATTGGCAACGAGTCTTCTCAGCTGGTGTAGTGGTACGGTCACCATTCTTGTACTGTATACTGCCGTCATAGTTCAACTGTCTCACATTAGACCTGTTTAATAGAAGTAACATAACATTAAAGTTCACACTTTTAATGACTCCAACCAGGATCAGGCTATAAAGTTCAATAACTGTAACATTTCAGAAACTTCAATGTGGTCAGTGAAATAAATTTAATTTGAGAATCTTATGAATGTTTGCAAGGACAGAGACACAGATAATGTAGCATGCCTTGTGAAAAGCATGAGCTACTAGAATACTACATTGTACTCACCCTTTACAGAAAGCACAGTGTTGTAATGTACTCAGGCTCATGTCAGGCTCTAGTTGATCTTGGAGACTATTGTAGGTACACACCAACCCTACATGGAGTAAAATCATTTAATAATATTGTAGGTTCACACCAAACCTACATGGAGAAAAATCATTTCATACTATTGTAGGTACACACCAAACCTACATGGAGTAAAATCATTTAATAATATTGTAGGTACACACCAAACCTACATGGAGTAAAATCATTTCATACTATTGTAGGTACACATCAAACCTACATGGAGTAAAATCATTTAATAATATTGTAGGTACACACCAAATCTATATGGAGTAAAATCATTTAATAATATTGTAGGTACACACCAACCCTACATGGAGTAAAATCATTTCATACTATTGTAGGTACACATCAAACCTACATGGAGTAAAAATCATTTAATAATATTGTAGGTACACACCAAACCTACATGGAGTAAAATCATTTCATACTATTGTAGGTACACATCAAACCTACATGGAGTAAAATCATTTAATAATATTGTAGGTACACACCAAATCTACATGGAGTTAAATCATTTAATACTATTGTAGGTACACACCAACCCTGTACATGGAGTAAAATCATTTAATACTATTGTAGTTACACACCAACCCTGTACATGGAGTAAAATCATTTAATACTATTGTAGGTACACACCAACCCTGTACATGGAGTAAAATCATTTCATACTATTGAAGGTACACACCAAACCTACATGGAGTAAAATCATTTCATACTATTGTAGGTACACACCAAACCTACATGGAGTAAAATCATTTCATACTATTGTAGGTACACACCAAACCTACATGGAGTAAAATCACTTAATAATATTGTAGGTTCACACCAAACCTACCCAGTATATGATCATTTCGTACTATTGTAGGTACATACCAAACCTACATGGAGTAAAATCATTTCATACTATTGTAGGTACATACCAAACCTACATGGAGTAAAATCATTTAATAATATTGTAGGTTCACACCAAACCTACCGAGTATATGATCATTTCGTACTATTGTAGGTACACACCTAACCTACATGGAGTAAAATCATTTCATACTATTGTAGGTACACACCAACCCTGTACATGGAGTACATGATCATTTCGTACTTCTCTTAGAAGTAAAAACAGTACCAAGGTGTAGCAAATCACATTTAATATCTTATGAGTATCCCACAATACTGCTAGAAAAGCACTTCACAAAATGGCTACCATAAATTAATTGCCAAATAATAATATGCTGTTCTTGCATTTATTTTTATGTAAAATATCAATTTTTATTTATTGTACACTTGTACTGTCCTATACAGATGATATAGTAGTTACAGTTCTGTGGCTATGTGAAACTGTTAAACTCACCATGCAAAGGAAATGAGTATCGCTTGTTTGTTTTCAAATCTCCATGTGTTGCAACAGCCAATCGATGAAGAGTACCTCCAGATTTCAACCATTCAGTAGTTATGCTCCATTCTAAGGTGGCCTCACATGTCAAACAACGAAAGAGTCGCCCGTGCTCAATGGCATCCACTGTTCGCTGGAGCACCACTTCAGGTGGAACTCCTACCATGCCTAGAAAAAAACTGCTGGGTTGTTACATCATTTTAAAACAAATTCTCTTGACTTTACTTTTCACTGATTCAAGTATGAATTATTACTTCACTTTTTTGCTCACATAGGAGAGCTATGAGTAGTAATTGCCACACTTGTCTGTCACTAGTTTATCCATCTGTCCATCCGTCTTTCTGTCTGTCAATCAACACATTTGGGGAACATTTGCTATCCCCGAGACAATTCAAATGGTTTCACTTTTAAAATGTATCGATATAAAATATTCAAAAATATGAAGCTATTCATTTCAAAAGTCCATACTCCCTAGATAAAGTACAATGGCAAAATCTGACCCCTTGGATAAAACTGTCTGACAAACTGCAGACCCTTCATGTGTTTGGGGGTCTCACTTTTGAATGGTGCATTATAAAATCCAATCACAATAGATATTCAACATGAAAGATTTATTTAAAGCTCCTGACCTGAAGACTTGTAAACATATTGGTGAACATCTGCTACTACTGAAGGTGCCACCTTGTGTTCCTTTACAAACACAGCCTCAATGGCCGCCACCAGACGCTGCACATATCTGTCCTGAATCAAATAATAGTAGATAACATTTCAAGAAAATAAGAAGAAAGAGCAATGTATAACATATAGTGCAATGTACAGTACAAAGTGGAGTATATAGTGCAATGTAAGGTAGAAAGCGCAATATACAGTAAATAGTTCAGTGCACAGAATATAGAACAATGTACATTAAATAGTGTAATATATAGACTATAAAGTGCAATGTACAGTAAATAGTGCAATAAACAGCATATAGTGCAATGTACAGAATAGTGCAATGTACAGTATATAGTAGTGCAAGGTACAGTAAAATGAACTCAGAACTGTGCATAATGTTGTTATGTACAGTACCTGTATATAGTGAAATGTAGCTAGTGGGACTTTTAATTACAGATTATTTGAATAAAACCATATTTAAATTAGTTTTTTCATCCATAAAAGGAACCAATGTCATATAATGCTCATTCACTTCTAAATCCATGTAGCATTCACAATACCATGTACAGTAGAACACCTCTATAAGTGGAACACCTTTATTAGTGGAACACCTTTATAAGTGGAACACCTCTATAAGTGAAACACCTTTGTAAGTGGAACACCTTTATAAGTGGAACACCTCTATAAATGAAACACCTTCGTAAGTGGAACACCTTTATAAGTGGAACACCTTTATTAGTGGAACATCTTTATTAGTGGAACACCTTCGTAAGTGGAACACCTTTATAAGTGGAACACCTTTATTAGTGGAACATCTTTATAAGTGGAACACCTCTATAAGTGAAACACCTTTGTAAGTGGAACACCTTTATAAGTGGAACACCTCGATAAATGAAACACCTTCGTAAGTGGAACACCTTCGTAAGTGGAACACTTTTATAAGTGGAACACCTCTATAAGTGGAACACCTTTGTAAGTGGAACACCTTCTCAGAGTGCCATGACCAACTGACTTCATTCTAATTGATCCTCTAAAGGAAGAACTCTCAAGTGGAACACTTTAAGCGAAACCAATGATGTTTCATTAACACAAGTTTTACTGTATACTCAATATGAGAAGGTGATTAATGATCTAATAGGTCAATAATTCTTAAAATAATGATTTTTCCAGAGGGTAATGTACAATTGCAGTCAAAGTCAACTTACCCCTAGACATTTATTGCCTCCCATAAGGCAATTGCCCTCAGAGTCAAACTCTATGTACATCTCCAGACATTCAAGGGGCAGGCTCCACACATTGGGAAGCATCCAACGTGGAATCTTGGGAACAGGCCTACCTTTTAAATGATAAATACATGTTAAAACTTGGGAAAAGGCCATACAAATGGACAAAATGACTGGATTAACCAGTTTGTCTAGTGTTTAAAATAGTGTGGCCAATTTAATTTCATACACAATTATTTAGAACTTAGTGCAGAAAGTGTTCATTTCTCACCTTTCACAGCAACTAGTGCTATATAATGGTTGCGGCCGCTGTTACTCCAGGCCAGACATAGGGGCTTGTTCAATGTTCCATCTTTGCCACGACACTTTGCAGGCTCCATAAGCCCAGGGAGGAACAATCCTGAATAGCATAAAAATGATATAAAGATGAGAACAATATTTTGTAATTTTAGGGACCAGAATGTTGCTAAAATTATGAATTTTGGTTTTTTTTTAAAATCAGCGGACAAAACTGCAGTTATAACTGTCAAGTGAAATAATTTGCAAGTGGAACACCTGTCCTGTGTAAGTTAAACCCTTCAATGTTGAACACCTCTTAAGTGGAACACCTTAATGGCCACAATAGTATTGCACTATTTTTGAAACAATTGAAAATAACTATCTTACTTATGTTGCATGAACATCCACCATATTGAAAGGATTTGAACCAATATAGTCCATATACATAAATTTCCTAATTCAACACTGTCAAGAAATGTAATCATGAATTACAGCAAAGAATCTCATTTGTGAACTTAAATCTCATTGAGAACCCTGGAGGAGCGTAATACAGTGTTGTGTCTATTAGCTTTAAGGACTAAGCCCAGAAGACTGCATAATTAATATGAGTTTGTGATTCAATGTGACAGATTTAATTAATTAAAATAGATTTAATTAATTAAAATAGGGAATATATTATCAAAGTTGTCAAATTGCTCCACAGCGAATGGAGCTTGACTCAATTTAATCAAATCAAGTTTCGCTGTAAATGCCAAATCCTTATGAGGGGATTTTCTGATTTCCTATCAGTGGCCAATATTGATGAAAAGCTAACGACCTCATCAGATCTCAATTCTGTATGACTTATGGTTAGTTGTATATTGTGAGTAAACTCTCCTTAATTATTAATCAAAGTAATAAATCAGGTGTGCTTTAGCCTACAGACTTCTTCAGGTGAGAATAAGCCTTGCCGTTAGCAGTATGAGTAAAACTTCCTTTCCAACTTGCCATACTTTAAATCTTAAGATGCCTTACAAATTAAATAAACATATTATTTCTAAAATTGTTCAGCAACTTTGAATCTTTTCAGCAATGACATTAAAATTATTCAAAACTGTACCTGCATAATCGCCAGAGCTCTTAAGGCCAGTCATTGAGTCAAGCAATATGATTGGTCTTCTCAAGACATTAGCAAGACCGAAGATATGGATGTTTCTCAGTCCTAAAGCTTCACCATCTGGAGGTATATAATATGGATCACACTCAGCTATGATGTTCTCCCATTCATTCTCGCCTATGAAATCTTTAAAAAGTGGCTTATATTTTGACAAATTTTCTTCAAAATGAGTTTTGAGGTTTTCACGAAGTGGATGCCAAAATAGCTCTCTCCCAATGAGAGCTCTTGAAACAGCATGAACCAAACAGTGGCCGTCACCATCTGAGTGAATCGGTAATAGACATTCTACATTGTCGTTGGCCTTTTGGATTGCAGATAGTGTGTCTGCCAGATATGCCACACTACCAGTTCTATCTTTGCCATAGCCTTTGATCTGAAACACACAATAAAACCATTTGCTTTTATTCACACCCATAGATGTCGCCCTATGACTATCGAGCAACACCCCTATAGAGGGCATTGCTTTCATTAAATCAATAATCACAAATACAGATTTTCCCTACACAATAACATAAGTAATGGTGTACCTTTATGTGATCTGGCTCAATCAGGAATGCCCTGTCACCCAATACAGAACAGTCAAACACTGGCTTCTGGCCCAACTCTGTGAGCAACTTTGCCTCTCCCGTTTGCTTACACATGCCATACCTTGCCAGTAGGGGTGAGAGTAACTTGCAGTGGTAGTTGGACAAACCAAGGACTTTGATTGTATCAGCACCTAAATGAAATATGTAACACATATTACATGATATTGGAACTGAAATTCAGTACAATTACACCTCTGTAAGTGGAACACCTCAAAATAGAGTTTCAATTTCTACTTCATGAGATTCATTTTACATTAAGGTAATGGGACTGAGATGTTCCACTTAACAGGTTTTATTGCTGTTTAAAAAATACACAACATAGAAAATACATGTACATGTAGGAGAATGTATTTTCTAGACCACATGTACCTAAAGCATGATAGTCATGATGAATCATCCTGCAAAAGTATAAAATTCCAACAAGGGTGTAAATAAATAATTTATTTTAAAAAACTAAACATCTTCTCATAACCTTATTAACCTCTTTACCTAAAAAGCTTAAAAAATTATTCTAAATTATATTTACTTTTCGTTTTTAATTTATTCACTTCTCCACATGAGAGTTTGTGTCTGGGTCAACTTGTGGAATATGTCACATACCTTTCTTGGGTTTTGTATGGCCAAGTAAAACGTTGTGTAACATTTTGTGTAGGGCTACATCAGGGTTAGTGACCTCAGAGACATCTTTAATGGTAGATTTATTATGTCGCTGGCCACATCCAGTACATTCAACACTGCGGTCATAAGCTGGGAAAAACAACCGAGTTTTACATCCATCATCCGGGCACAGTCCACTGAGTACTTTATAGAGGGAGGCATTGTCACCACTGTCCTTTTCAGGTGTAGTTGCCATGGCAACAGCCAAAAATCTGAAAAATAAGCTTTTTAAGTACTGGAATATAAGGCACAATTGGAATATTTATTATTTTCTGATACTGTATATGTCTTTATTTTGGCGCTGCTTAATTTGGTGATTTTCTGTTTTTGGGATCCGTTTCCGGTTACACGCATGTGCATTGGCAAGACTTCCTGGTCAGACGACATGGAAAAAACAAGTTCCAAATACATTTTTCGTCAATTACACTGTCTCCCGACTCTGGATCGCGTGATATGGTCAGGAAAACGATAATTTAGAATGTTATGCATCGATTGAAATAGGGTAAATGTTTCTAAGATATCTTACAAAAGACCTTTATAAATGACTGGGAATATCAAGTTTTCCATAGCCATCAATCTAAAGATGGCTATGTGCATATATAGTAAATCTGGTAAGGATCTACGACATTTCAGATTCAGGGAACGGGATGGTGTGTATGTATTCATAAGGTATGTATACATGCTTGGATCACTTTCTTTATGTAAAATTACCATGTTTTCAGGGTTTAATTAGGGGAAATGGTCCTATCACCGCACAGGCACTCTGGAAAACTACTGACGATTTCAATAACTTCAATTTACTTTGAGAATATGAGATGAAAGATCAACCTTTCTTCTAAAATTTAATAGTGTTTGACATTTCTCAATCTCCGAACAATATCACTTTAAGACCCCTTAGACTTGCATGTGCGGTGGTCCTAATTATCGCACAGACGTCCTAATTATCGCACAGTTGTGTTTCAGAAGTCATTTCACGATACTGTATACATTTCTCTCATTTCTTTATAACAGATATATACATGTACATATGCTATAATAATTTTTCTATCAGTTTTAGTGTAAAATATCAACAAAATATACATCATACACTTATTTTTCTGTCTTTATTTGGAGGGGGGTCAAACTTTGTCAGACGAATTTCACTTTTTGCGCAATAGCATACACAACAATAGTGGAAGTAAACAATTCTTAAAAAATGCAGAGATATTTCTAAATATATGAATAAATCATGAAGATTGGTAGTAGATGTTTAATGGTGTTGAACTGTTTTTTGTAACACTGGTTTAAAAGATGGTAGGTGTATATTTAAGCTATTTAGGACAATCGTGCGATAATTAGGACCGTGCGATAATTAGGACCACTTCCTCTAGTTCCGCTTGTCGAAGCAAGCGGAACTATAACTTCATGCGCTTATGCCAAAATGACGATGGAGGTTAGACCTAGCCGGGCCATAAGACATGTCAGATAAGAAACGAGGCCCCAGGGTATGTCTAATGGACCATGTTGTGGGACTAGGGGGAAGTCTTATCTGTCAGAAATTCCAAAAACTCAAAAGAAAACCGAAAACTCAACAGTGGAAATTTTTCTCCTGTGTTGAATTTACATACAAAAACTCTGTGGTGTTATCCTACTCCCGATAGATCTATCGGGGCATTGAGTTAACCTCAGTATGTTGGTGCTTAACAACAGTAATATGGACATATTAACGCCACCAGTAAGTCAGAAAAGAAGGAACTTACCAGAAATTGTGCAAACTTTGTTCTGTCTATTTTGATCTCGTAAAATCTCACCCCAATCAGCGCATGCGCGAGAATTATTTTGTAAAACTTAAAAAAAACTTTTTTTCTAATAAATGTCATGATTACTGATTGTTTAGGAAAAACATTAATGATATACTATGTTTTTATCAAAACTGATACTACCAATGTCTTGTTTGCGCAATATTACAGTCATTGGTGCAGCGAAAGTAGATAAAATGCACATCATTTCAAGACGTAAATTTTCTCAAGAATTTTCAGCTGATTCATCAAGTTCCATTAAATCTGGAATTCCTATTGAATTAGGACAGGACGTACCATTATATGAGAACGATGATGCATGGGACTCTATAGTTGATCTTTCAAAATTAACAGAAGCAGAGAAATTGATCTACACTCTCCACTCAAAAGCTCTGAAGGTACAATGTAACTTGGGAAACGGGACAATCTATATGTCTCTGGTTTACAAAATACTAACAGACGGGATTTACATTCTTGCGAACTTGGATATACTCAATCAATTAATTGAATATATCCAAATCACACATTATTTTTAAAAAGTAGTAGTAGCGCTATAAGCACAGATATTGACCAGATCGTTTTGTAGGATCATAGGCTCAAAGAATAATACAGAAGATACGACACTAAATTGGAAAATTTCGAAAAAAGGGACCACCTTTCAAAACGTTCCTTATACAAAATGGTACCTGTTTCCCCGTGACAGATTTTGCACTTATTTTGTAGCTGAGATCTTCATCTTTCTATTTCTACTTGTTTGGTTCGAGTAAATAACCTATGGATGCAGTTACAGTTGGGGACATAAATAAATGACAGGTGGATTTGCTGAAGTGAGGATTTCCCATGTTACAAATAAGAGAATTTACAAGAGGCCATAAATCAGTGGATGAGATTATACAAAATGTAAAATATACAAATTTTAAGGGATATGTATCTAGACAATATTGGAAATTATGGGCTTTCAGACCACCATAATTAGGAAATGGTGATCGAAAATCGACCTGTCATTTATTTTTGTCCCCAACTGTATTTGACTTTCAATACGGCGAATATTTTTCACGAAATCCGGACTCTTGTGTGTCCAAATATCATTGTAATGATGACGTCACATTTCTGGAACCACGGGAGCAACATTCAGATTTGGACAGACAAGAGTCCGGCGACAAAAGATCACTGTTTTGGCCTCTTATCAACGCAGTATTGCTTGAATAATGGCCATTGGTGATAAAATTAAGGTAAAGAATAACAAAACCCTTCGAATGAGGTATGATTTGTATCATATTTTTCAGAAATGGCTCCAGAATCGTCATTTTAAAATTTGAAATTTTCTGAGGTGTCTCATCTTGAGGAAATATTATTGAGCTACTGATCCTACTACAAAAGAATCTGGCCGGGATCTATGGCTATAAGCTACATGTAAGCACATAATTCTTACCTCAATCGATTATAAGCTAGCACCAACCTAAACATTCTCTTAAAGCCAAAAAACTTACGACCGTCTGAAATTGCAGAGGTATACACATTATTCTTTAAATCCCCCTGTGGTTCACTGTATACTAAATTTGGCGGGACCGTCCTAGGCTGAACCCTCAGATATCAATATATTCCCATTCCAATCTGTCAAAGGATCTAGTGCACCCGCCATTATGATCTCCCCATGAACAAAATGAATCATTTTTAGGTGTAACATAAAGAATACAATGTCACATAATACTGTGGAAAATATTTAAGGGTTTGGACCCACATGGGCTGAGGTTGAGGTCATTAAGTTCAGCAAGGGTGTATTGACTTGCCATTGGATGTGCTCCATTGACTTAACATGTGGATATCATCAGATTCCAATGGAGGTCATTGGTTTCTATTGATTTTCACAAAAATACCTAAAATACACTATGACCTGAATCGATTGCAAATTAAATAATTTCACAATATGACACAAATGGTATATCACATCAGATGTGCAAATATAAAGTTTGCAATCGATTCAGGTCATACTTCAAATTAAAGGCTTAGACATTTTTTTCATCATTTTTTTCCTACAAAATGGCTATAGGAAAATGCTTCAAAAGCAACTTTTACACTTATGAAATCCCATACAACTTTGTAAATCCAAAGATTATACTGTTATGTTTCATTGATTAATAACATATTTGGATAAGATGTAGGGATGTGTAGGATGCAAATGGATTTTGACAGACACAAAAACACTTCCTGGTTTGGCATCTCGACCCCTGTACACTTTATGATTGAATATTGGCCCTAATAAGTGGCCCATTCATCAATACAGTGCTGAATATAGGTCAAAAAGATACTAGTGTACATATAAATGTAATAATAAAAGCAGTATTTTTATTTTGAAAAATCAGATGAATTATTTTTTTCTCATGGGGAGATCCCAATGGAGGGTGTATAAGGTCCTCTCAATGTGTTCCCATACCAACCAAATAACGCCCAAAATGCCATACCAAATGTCCAAATATAGGACCAATGCCATACCAAATATCCAGATATAAGACCAAGGCCATTCAAAATGTCTAAAGCTCGAATAAGAAGGCAGATCTTTGAGTAAAACGATCCAAAACAACCTCAAATTAAGGATTTGGCATACCACAAGTGAGATGTATGCCATACCTCAAGTCATAATTAGGGGGGGACATTCCCATACCAGATCTTAAAATTTGGGTCCATCGCCATACCAAATGTCCAAAAAGGTAACCCATGTGTGCCCAGGATCCCCGTCAAGGTTTATATACAGTGAACCCCCATATCCATATGTGCATAAGCTGGCGCCAATATTTTACAGGTTTTGAAAAAGAATATAATATGCTTCTATTGAATGCATCCAAGACCAGAAAGTAGAGATGGTCTTGGAACTTGAAGTAACCTTTTAGTACTTTAAACGTGAGTTAAATTTGACGAGTTGGACTTTCAGATTTTTGGCTCATGTGTATGCATATATCAGAGTCTGAAATGTCGGATGTGTAAATTAACAGGTAAAGGATCAGGAGCTACATTTACAGTAGAATGAATTACATGAGTTTTTTTCATGCATTTTCATTTTCAAGGATAATCCACTGACTTATGCCAATATTCTTTAATCCTTAGAAGTAATATAAGTGTATTTTTTTTCTTGGAATCAGTTATTCTGTAATAATGCCTATTTTTCAGAATGGTAAGAACATGTACATAGACCCAGAGACAGGCTATAACGTAATGACTCGTCAATTTCACCTGAAGAGAGGCAAATGTTGTGGCAATGCCTGTAGACATGTGAGTAGATTAGTATAAAATATGGTAGTTTTACTGCTAGTTACTAGTTATCTATTGGTGCTTTAAAATGTTTTAGATTTAGATCAAAAATAGTGAAAGCACTTGTAAATGATAAAAATGACTAAACATTGCGGTTTCACTAGTTTCTGGGATATACCCTAAAGCCTTATGCATTCTTATACACCTACATGCACTAATGATCAATTTGACTTCCATGAGAAAAAGACTTCCTGTTAATAAAGAGCATAATAATCATTCTCTCAATTCAAAAAGCGCTATTATTAGGAGCTCCTTTCATACTGACAACATTACAAGTGGTGCCAAATTTAAATTGATATGACTATGTCCACTCAGAAAACAGCAGAATTTTGGTTTTGAAAATATGTGCAGAATTTGATTTTTTCGCACGGAATTTCGCGGAAAACATGATTTTTCCAGTCAACCACCTCATCTCATATTTGTCACTCACCTTGACACCTTAGACAACCATTTGTCATCAGAAACTAGTGTTATGAGGATTTCATTATGATTTTCATATTTTATTTTTCAGTGTCCATTTGACCAGTGCAATGTACCAGTTGAAGCAAGAACAAAGACATTTAACACAGCATTTTACACTTGACAATAGTGCAATAATAGACATGTTTATGGTTAGTTGTATCCTGTCAGGGAATCTGTACATCCAGTTGACAATTTTATTTATTGTACTTTACATACAAAGACAATTTTAATTTATTATTGTACTTTACATGTACATTTGTACAAATGTTGTTAAAAAATATTCATACATTAATCTGGTATTTGTGTTTTTTAATGAATAAATGTAATTGGAGCATGGTTGACTGAACACAGTCTGCAACCTATTTTGATTTTATGTTTACTAGGTTCATTAGTAATACCTATCTGCTGAAACTTAAACTTGCCAATATCGACTGTAAATCTAACAAACTTTTGATTGAAAAGTGGTCCTCGTAGCCCTATTTGCCGCTTATAATTCTATACTTTGGAAACTGCATGTAAAGATAAAATCAACATTTGAAATGCTCATATTGTGTAAAAATATTGTGCAGATTGTTATGAGGCATGATCATCATTTTTCATAATCAATAAGTTTATTAAGTGACTAAGCTCTCATTTCAAAATGCAGGGAAATGAATGCAAATGGTACACCATAGCCCTGCCCAAATCATTGTCTTTTTCTTTTTACTTTTACATTACATTAAAAAAAAAATAAAATTACTGTCACTTTAATTGAAGACCAAGATAAGTAAAAGAAATTGCCGTCTTAGGCAAAGCTAGGTACACTAAGAAGTTGTGACATATTAATAAAGCCTTCATTTTTTGTGACCAGTAGTTGATATCTGTAGCAAATTGGAACACTTATAGCCATTTGCACATGGGGACATATTTGTCATATGAGTTGTTTTTAAAATAATGAATATGTAATGTTTTTATGTGATATCTTAAAACAACTACAGAGTGGTCCAAATAATCATTTACACTTTTGATTGCATAACATTTTTTAACGATTTCTTTTCATAGACCTGTCCCACAGACACACCCTTGGTATACGCAGCTAACGAAAATTGACCGGTACGGGTCAAAAGCTGGACCGGTACGGGTTAACGGTTTTATTTGAATTTAAAACAGCCATAACTTGCTCAATATTGACTTCCTCGTGTCTAATCAAACGCGCGTCATTGAAACTCACAAGATGTAAATAGCATGTCATTTACATCATACCTTGATGGGGAAAAATAGATCTTATATGTTAGAAGTACTAAATAAACGTTATCGTGAAAATGAGACAGTCGTTCTCGAGAGAAAAGAGCATAAATGCGCATTTAGAGAGTTTTGGTCCGTTTAAAAATCTGTAAAAAATTGGGGTACTTTAAAGCATCGGGAGGCATCATATATTTCAAACCTTTACACTTTTCAAAATTTTTTAAAATAAAACGTGGATGTCGTCAGGGAGATAGTTTGTCTTGCTACATGTTCATTCTTGCTTTAGAACCACTCTGTAACAAATTGAAATACGCCAGAGATATTCAAGGTTTGAAAATGTTTGACAAAAATATTAAAGTCGGTATGTACGCTGATGATACTTTCGTGGTTCTCGATGGTTCAGAAAAATCTTTGAAAAGCTGCTTGCAAATTTTTAATTTATTTTATGAGGCATCTGGTCTAAAGCTTAATGTTGAAAAGACTTCCGTAATATGGTTAGGAACCAAATGTAATTCGGATGAAAGATTATTGAAAAATATTCCTCTGAATTGGGAAACCACCTTTAAATTACTTGGCATTCAATTTAATAATGACCTTAAGAATATTGAACGAGACAATCTTGAGACTAAATTTATAGAAATGCAAACAGTGATAAATCGATATAAGAGAAGAAATTTGTCCCTGATAGGAAAAATAACGGTAATAAAGTCGTTTGCTCTGCCTAAAATAGTACATATAATGAAAATTCTGCCAAAAATATCAATTGAATATCATAAACGACTAAAACATTTATTTACTACATACCTGTGGAATTCTAATGTGTCAAAGGTGAATTTTCATCAAATATGTCAAGACTACAAAGATGGTGGTCTAAGAATGATCGATCCCCAAACCTTCGAGCAATCTCAGAAATTAACCTGGCTTCAGAAATTGACCAGACATGGTACATGGCAATTTGCAGCGCATGGTATAATTGGTATAAAAGATGCGAGAGAACTATTTGCATATGATGTAAAATCACTTCAAAAATTAGAGGCTAAAATTGAAAATACTTTTTGGAAAGGGATAATCAATATATTTCGCGCATACACAGCTATTAAAGAAGCCGAAATTGAATGCAATATAGAATCATATGCTGAAAATATAATCTGCAACACATGGTTAAGATATAGCAAAAATGAGAATGTGAACAAAATCATAAAAAATACAAAGCAGGAAGGCTTAATCATTCTAAAAGACATGTATCACGAATCAAAAAGAATTTTGAGATTAAATGAATTTATGGACCGTTTTAACACAAAAATAAACTTCTTAGATTTTCTAAGTCTGAAAAACACAATTCCTGAAAAATGGAAAAAAATAATATCTGAAAATAATAAACCGCCTGAATATTATTCTGAATATAAAAAACATGTGTTAAAATTCATGGAAAATAAAAAAATTTGTAAAATAATTTACTGGGAACTAATTAAAAACCTTGATTACAACGACAACTATGTGTATAAATGGAACGGTGATTTAGATATTAATATTGAAGACCATGAATGGAAAAACATTAATAAAATTAATAAAATAAGTAACTATGAACCTAAATTAGCATCTTTCAACTATAAAGTAATCCACAGATTTCTACCGACAAATAAATACTTAAAGATGTGTGGTATTAAGGAATCTGATAAATGCTGTTTTTGCAGTAGACACATAGAGACCCTGGTGCACCTGTTTTTAACGTGTGAGGTTGTCGAAATGGTAATTCAAGATATTAAAAACTGGCTTCCTAAAAAGCTTTCTGATTTATGTGACAAAAGTACAATCACTTTAGGACCAGTAATTATAAATAGTGAAACAATATTGATAAATACAATTTTATCTATATACAGGAGATATATATACTTATGTAAATGTCTAAAGGTGCGTCCGACCTTTCTGGGACTGAAGAGAAACATAGAAGAATATTATTTAATAGATGTAAAAGTAGGAAGAGGAGATAAATGGAAGGATATTAAAAATATATTGTAATTACATGTACTACAAGTTTATACTGCTTCATATTTTCCATGTTGTATAATTTTCATACTATTGTAAATGCTAAATGTTTTAGGGAAACGTGAAACACGTCTGTGTTAGGCAATGCTTGCCAAGAGTTTCAATGTTACCCTCTCACCCATCGACACTATTGTAAAATGACTAAACCTAAATATATATTGAATGTACTGCTTGAACTGAAATGAAAATCCATTAAAAAAAAAAAAAAAAAAATTTTGATTACCTTTGACAATTTTTCTTCATATTTGATGATTTGACAACATTTTTCAGAATTGCGTCTCTAAAAGGTGATATTTTGTCTATTAATCTTCTTGAAAACACATCTAGCTACATGTAGTCATGTACATGTTCAGTGTAAGAAAGGATGAGTCTGGGAATGAGTCTGGATATCGACTTAGAAAATATTGAAAATTGTAATCTCTGAAAAACCAACTCAATCACACACAATCTTCTCAGAGTACAAAAACGTCAAATTGAATCTCAATTAATGAAGAATATTGGCATCAAAGAGAATGCATATCAATATAGCACAATTGAAAAAAAATTCAAGTGCATATACTAAATGAATATTTTCTCCATAAAGTTTGAAAAATATCCTCCAAAACATTGCTTACTTTCTTTGTATGGACATTGAATGGTATTTCTTGATAAGTGAATTGGTGTTTACCTGGGTAATCAAGGGATTATAGTCACTCAAAGTTACTGAGCATCCAGTTTTGACACTTCAATTGTGTTGGTGAAATCCAAATATTTCAGTCAAATTCATGCTGAGCACAACATTTTGGTTTCAATTTTATAATCTCTATACATGACCCTGGTGATGTAGAGTCGGAATCAACCAAAAAATCTAAACCGGAAAACTGTGCTCATTGTGAAAATCAAAAGTGAAGCTACTTTTTTCTGATATTTCTTACATCAAATGGCAGCCATCTTGTTTTTCCCCCTTCAAATTAAAGTGGCGGAAAATTCAAAAATTTGAAAAAAATTTAATCCTAAATTATATTTAAAAAACATGATTTTCTTTTTAATTATTCATGGGTCTATAAGTTATTTCTACTTTATATGGATTCATGTTGCCATTGGTGTTTTTTTCTCTGATAATGATTATTTGTTTTCTGTTATGATACTTATTTAGACTCTCAGCAGGGGATTAATTATGCATCAAAACTCATGAAAATGTAAATATTCTTATCAAATATAACTAGGACAGTTGTAAAAATCATATGTCACATACATTTAACTGAGGGACCAAAAGGGCATATACCCAGACTCATCCTTTGAACAAATGGAATTCAGCATATTAAACAGCAGACTTTGAAATTCATTTTGTTTAATACATACATGTACATACACAATTTTATTCAAATGGTAGTCTTTAAATACATTTATACACAGCACACAATTCATCATTGTATAACATAACACATTGTATTGTATAACATTACACATTGTGTGTTTCACTACTGTAAGAGCTCTGTCTTTTCCTACCATCACTTTCACAGTTCACTCAACAGAGAACAACACATTCATAGGTTTAAATAATTAATTTCCTAAAATGTTCATGCATGTGACCCATAAGGATCAAGTTTTTCTAGTTCTGTTTTGTCTTCTGGTTCTTTCTTTTTGCCCATAGCAGGCAGGAGATTGTCGAGGTGTTTCAGTTCCTTTTCTGTGAATATCCATTCCATTCCCTTTCTGACAAAGCACAATGCGAGCACCTGTAAAATAAATCACACATAGGTATCAAGGCACAGGTATAGGAATGTCTCAATGTAACAATTTGTTATTTTCTACCTGTCAAACACTGCACAATGACCTAGAAATAAATAAAGATGGACAGCATTGATTGACATTTCCATCATTATATCAGTTACATATACCAAGCTTAGTTCAAGAACCACATCACTGTTACATTTATCATGGACGTCCACACTTTTTTTTCCTACAGTATGTATTTGCAGACGAACGAAGAAATGGAGAAGACTTGCTTTTTTGTGGTTTCTCGGGATATTTTTTAATCTTAATTTTGACACAATTATTAACAAATACTGACATACCGTGCCCATGACATGTTTATTCAAGGTAAAGCTTATTAGGTTGTATTCGCGAATGCAACTTTCGGCTGTCGGCTACCGGGTTAACCTACTAATTTATGGGAAACTCATTTAAATATGAAAAGTACCTTTCACTGTTAACATTCATATTTAAATGAGTCATAAAGTAATAGGTTAATCCGGTAGCCGGCAGCCGAAAGTTACATTCGCTAATAGAAGCTTAAATTAAGTTGTAATTTTAGCATTGTTCTCCTGTACATCAACCTGGCATGGAAAACTTACCATCAATGGGAAGATGATCGAAATCTTTTTCACACTCTTGACAACCCATAGAATAGCCAATGATGTCACCTGAATGGCTGTGAAGAGATGAACGCGGTTGGTGTCTACGTGGCGAAGGAACTTGTGATCTGGCTGGTACTTCCTTGGCATGAATACAAGCAACATTCTTTGTACCAACTAAAAACAAAAGATATAATCAGTAGTGGAGAGAAAAACAACTTATAATTGGGAAACATCTTAAATACATGTTGTTAAAATAATGCAAGGTTGCCTGGTTATTTTTAAGATTGATTCAACACATGCACTTTGTCAGTAGTGCTGAGAATTTAAATACCTGTATTTGTGGTTCTGTGTTACCCAGATTATTTCGTGTAATTCAGAGGAGTTATCAAATCTGTGCGTCTATTATTATCAAACTGATTTACTGAAATACAGCATCTCAATTTATGCCATGGGCCAGTTGTTTCATTACGTACCTCTGCGCCGGACAATGATGCCACGCCCATGTACAAGAACACCCCGTATAATACTGGCATAGGAACATACTAAAATACAAATATACGTGCCATCATTTCATACGTCAAAATAATTTAAATGAATATAAATATTGACTGTTTGTCTTGATTATTTCATTGATTATTTTTAATACCACATTACAACTGACTCTGGAAAACAGGAATACGTATTTAATGAGCAAAATGAAGATGTAAAATGTTACCTTTAAGACAGCATTCATGAAAATGGAGAAGCCGATCACAGTGAAAGCAACTACGTGAGTGACTCGCTGTTCTCTGCAAATTAACATACAATATATTCAATATCGAGTATCGAATATGTTAAGAGTCCTAGGCTCCAGGTGATAGGAGCAAAAAGGGTCAAAGATTAAAGAAATAATTGTGTTTTTGAATTTAACGAAAAACTTCTTGGTTGAACATTGTGTAAATGTTTTAATTACTGTATTTCAGGGATGTTCAGATATTTAATCATTCTCTTAGGCCTACCGTATTCCAAGAAATTTCGGCTTTTCGCCGGGTGCTGCGTTCTTTGATTCCTTCCTGAGACTGAGTACATGATTGATTGATCTTACAGTGGCAGCAACGAAGTACGGTATTCCCATCACAGAACACAAGACAACTTGCACCGAAATTATCAACAGGTCAAGATGGTAGCCACCTCCTTTCTAAAACACGTGAGGCTAATAGGTATACACTTTGGTGTCCGTAAAAGGCATATCTCCGAACGTTCTTTTTCTTTTGCATTTCAACTATTTGTTGACTTGACTTCTGAGCATTTTACATTTTTACAATTATCTGGATTTGCTCGCATAGTCACATTGTCATTCATTAATCAAGTACAGGTCATACATGAGGATTGGATTTGGATTATATGATTATAGGTGTCTAGTCCCTTGATGTGAAATTTACTATTTATGTAATTGAACGTTAAACATTTATCAAGGAATATACCATTTCAGCTGGGAGTGTGAAGGACTGCTGTCTCTGCCCATACATACAATTATTATAACTATCAAAAATGCATTTCTACTATATCTTACTTTTAATTTATTTGCTTTGTTATTAACGATGACTGATGTAATTTGCTGATCCATGAAGATAAGAATAGAAAGCAGTATGGCGGGTACACCAGCTGCGAGTGCGGTCCACCAAGCGTTGGCGCCGAATGGAGGAATCACCCAGCCCCTACTGTGAAGTGTAGGCTAAAGACAAAAATGAATTACATTTAAATTCGATAAAAATGTATGCAACTTCTAAAAGCGGAATAATTTTGTCTATTATTATAAAAGATGAAACAATCTCATATGAGATTTGATACCAGATGGAAATTTGGACACCCGTATAGTCAGCTGCGTATAGTACTTACTCTGAATTCGGTAGGAATCTGCAGTTTTGGCGTGTGGAGGCCGAGAGCGAGGTCTATCCCAGTCATGATCACGAGAGCAATTGGCACTGCGAAGTCAGCAATGTTTTGTCGAACCTAACATGTAATCAGTGAACCATATTTTAGAAAAAAAATTAGAGGATTCACTATATATTTCAAAATTATTATATGTGAAATGTTAACTGTTTTATTTGTTGGGTCTTTTATTGTTTTCAAATAACGCCCCTTGCAAGCGTTTTGTTTTTCTGTGGGTATCTTTATTCAAATCTTGCCCTTTATATTTTGGGAAATATTGTACCTTAATTACTGAGTCAAAGCTGATGTTTAGATAAACACTTACAAAAGTTGGAAAATATCTTGTCTCTTTGAATCCCTTCAGGCCCATAGCTATGACAAACACGCCCATACAAAGAATGAATGAAAACAGGAAGACATCGGGGAAGTATTCTTTACAGCCAGGCCCCACAAGCTTGCCCCCATATTCTAAGCAATCTTCGTGTGAGAGAGCGGCCCAATCGCCATCTGTCATATTCTCAAGGGACATCCCCATGAACATCAATGATTTGTTCATGCCTGGGGCGAGAGTCGTGGCATAAACCATCGTGGAGTTCTCAGCGCCTGGCATTACTGTCGTCATGACAGGATCAGGTCTATGACATGTGCACGGCCCCAAGGGCTCATCTGGTTTAATACGCATGGGGTATTTTTTGTTGACTTTGATGACCTTACTAAGTGATTCGTAAATGAAGATGAGAGATATAAGAACAGCAAAGACCTCCTCCGTGAATTTAGTGATATATTTGACGAGCGCACTAAGATCGAACATAACCATGATGAGGAGGATTGCACCTGTCCATATTCCTATCCAGAACCGGAACGGTAAATACTCCATACCATTGTCCCTAAAAACACAATCATGGACGCAAATATTGAATTGGAAACTAAGGAGGTGCCACTTTATCTCATTGCGATTACCATGAAACAATTCAAATTGGCTTATAGTGACGTTCTTTTATCCGCGTCTTATTGAAGAAAACGTTAGCGATGAAAGAAATCAGGACACAGCTAGCAATTGTGAATCTGCACATTCAAGAGATGATGTGGAATTGACTCACTTGCAGAAATTGTACAAGATGGTTTCAAACACCAATATAGGCCCAGTGCAACCAAGTATAGTAAGTGGTTGACCTGCTAAGAGAGAATATGAGACGCCACATATACCAGCCGCTAACATACCTTCAGCTGCCGCCTGGAATCAAACCACAAAATAAATTGGGGAATAACATAAAATTCACGAATCTAGAGGTTCACCTAAGAAATCTTCATCTAAGAATTCTGGGTTGTTTCTTCCTCTTTCAAAATAATATATATCTTAATCTTTATCACATTTAGCCGTGTTTGCACAATACAAGAATTATGCAATATATTTCACACGAGGTTGTTGTTGAATGTCAGTCAGTAGAAGAATAACCCATAGGTTGCTGGACGTATAAGGTTTTCGCTAAAACTCACCATTTTATTGTCAAGAGCATCCCCCATCATACCACCAAATGTGATGACAGTAGAGAGACAGGCAAAGTATATGAAGAAGATTGAGGCAAGGGATTGGAGGGAAAGAGCATCTTTGAAATCACTGGCATACCATTTTGCTTTTCGTTTAACGTCGTTTACCAAACCCCCAAATATTCTGAAAACGTCAAAGAAGTGCATGAAAGAATTATTGTTGATGATTCAAGATTAAAACTGGTTGGCCATTTTAGGTTAGTTTTAGGTTATTTTTGATCATAATTTAGGTTATTTGATTAGTTTTCTATATGATGTATGAATATTCTCGACGTTCATTTAGCTATTGAGGTGTCCTTTCTGGTTCTGGATCACCAATCTGATCTAACAGGCGCGTTGCCTTACACTTACATATTACACTTATATTCCATATTACACTTTCATTACATATTACACTTATATTCCATATAACACTTACATCACATATTACACTTATATTCCATATTACACTTACATCACATATTACACTTATATTCCATATTACACTTACATTACATATTACACTTATATTCCATATAACACTTACATCACATATCACACTTACATTACATATTACACTTATATTGCATATTACACTTACATTACATATTACACTTAAATCACATATTACACTTAAATCACATATTACACTTACATTACATATTACACTTACATCACATATTACACTTACATCACATATTACACTTACATTACACATTACACTTACATCACATATTGCACTTACATTACATATTACACTTATATTGCATATTACACTTACATTACATACTACACTTACATTACATATTACACTTACATTACATATTACACTTATATTGCATATTACACTTATATTGCATATTACACTTATATTCCATATTACACTTACATTATATATTACACTTATATTGCATATTACACATACATCACATATTACACTTACATCACATATTACACTTACATCACATATTACACTTACATCACATATTACACTTACATTACATATTACACTTACATTACATATTACACTTACATCACATATTACACTTACATCACATATTACACTTACATTACATCTTACACTTACATCACATATTACACTTACATTACATATTACACTTATATTGCATATTACACTTACATTACATATTACACTTACATCACATATTACACTTACATTACATATTACACTTACATCACATATAACACTTAATTATATTCCATATTACACTTACATTACACTTATATTGCATTTACACTTACATTACATCTTACATTTATATTGCATACCTTCCTGTTCTAACTAGTGTTGGGTCTGCGTGATCTTCAATCTCCTCTTCCCCTTCTTCAGGTTCTTTCAGCACTGATGACCATGTCTGAAAACAGTAACACAAGAATGTTTGATGACTTATGTTTGGAGTCATATTGAAATATTTCACACGATCATTGTAGTCAGTGGTAGTTCTGTTTTATATTGAACTTGTATCTGTGGGAATATTAGTTGTATGACGTCGATTTGATTTGTCTTTTGGTATTAGGAAACCATTGTCAATTAAATAATCTTTTAAAGGCCTACTAAATATTTTTGTGAATGAGTAATCAGTCCTTGTATGATCACCCCTGGTATTATGTTTCTGATGGTTCTTGCTTCATTTCACATACCTTCCCCTGTGTGTCAGTGGTTGTTGGGGGTTGTATATGGATGTTGTGATCCCATTCACTGGCAGGCAGCACGGTGGAGTCTTGCATAAATGCGTCAACGGAAGCCAGAATCTCCTTTTTATCTTTGGCAGAGTACACCACCTTTTGAAAATCCTACAAGACAAACAGAATCGTTTCTGTAGACGTTATGATTTATAGAAAAATCGCCATATAAATGGTACCCAAACACGTTTTTTTCGCATGCTTGTATATGCTGTGTTTATGAGGGGTTGTTTTGCAAGAAGGATAAGGACCACAATTTCTGTTATTGGGGCTGAGTGCTGGGAATGGAAGTCCCTTGTTCTTATTGATCCATGTTCTTTGCTCTTTTTCCAAAGGTCATATCATAACCATGTTCTACTTACAACCGAATCCATATATGGTCATATAGAACAGAAGAGAACTAGAATTCCCGAAAGACAATGCTTGTCAAATATTCATACCTTATGAGAGAATATTGTCCCCATACATCTGCCAACTTGTTTGATGGCTGTATTTTCATGCTTGGGTCCAAACATTACAAATATGAACCTAAAAGAGATAAGGTAAATTATCGTTAAACCATTTTAGTTGAGCCAACACACAAATTCCTCATCAATTAAAGGAGAAATCAAGAGACCCCCTCTTTCTCCTAACCATACTGTTGAAGACCAGAGTATGTTGATAAGTGCCCGACTAAGACTTTCCAATTAAAGAGACAAAGGCCAAATGTTACCTTGTGGGAAGCTCCACTTCCATGAGCTCCATCAAGTCCACACCAGATTTGAGACGTACTAGGGCAGTTACAGTTTTGTCCAGACCGTCTATGCCTCCCACCATCACACTGGCGCCCTCGGCACCTTCTGGGATCTTCCTTTGGAATTTCTACATGAACAGAGATATACAGTGTGTCTATACAGACTTGAATTGTAATTGTAAAGATACTTTATGGATACCCTGTATATGAGATTGTATGAAACATAAATATACACTTTAATTATTCTTTGCACTTAGGTTCACAAATTCTTTTTTTGTAATTTTATCATTTCGTGTTTTGCCAATATATCTTAAAGATTATCATATGGTCAAATTGGTGTATGTCACTTTAAAGGTTCAAACATTACGAACGTGAGCCGCATGTTTACAGAGGAACACAGCGACGATTACGAGAATAACCAAAGATCAACTGAGATTCGACAGATATATAATCATGTTCTGTATCGTATCTGTTCAGCAATCGTCTTTTAAGAGTAAAAGAGATAGTACAGTTGTAAAGGACGGACAACTGTATATTATCATGATTGTAAATGTGTGTTTTAAATAATTAAATACTATTTTAAGCATATTTATGTAGACTTATAACGATGACAAAGTGGCTATAAATTAGGAGTAAGGAACTTTGATAAGACATGCTAGGATACAATACAATTTTTAACACTCCTTTTTCACAAAGCATTTACACAACAAAATGTAGTTTGCTCTATTTGCAATTTTAGAGAGTGAAATGAGCAATTAAGTGTATGTCCATTCCCTTAATCAGTTGTTGTCATGGCAACCAATTTGGCTAGAATTTTAGGATTCATCACATGCCTTACAGTTGTTCCCTGTACAGTCTGACCATAATTTCTCAATGTATCGGCATGTTGCAAATACATAGACTATGAGTGTCTAGTCTCAAACGTTGTTTCAAGTCAATCCGATCAATAGTTTTAGAGATAGGCCTACCTTCATTGCGCTTTGTGAACCAACTCTCTTTAGGCCCCCTGATGAATCTGATTTTGAAAAAGACGTGGAATTCCCACTAGGTGTGATGGATCCTCGTCTGGGGAAACTACCAGTACTGGGAAGTTGAAGGCCCTCGTGGCTCATTCTTCTGGCGAATGCTTTGGATTCACGACCTACATAAAATATATTTTTTAAATATATTCCTCTTGCAATCCACATAGTTACTCGTTCACGATACGATCATACTTTTTTACATTCATGAAGCTGGAAAAGAGGGGGAAATACCCCCGAATTTATGGATGAACATTTTGTCATAGAAAGACGAATCCTGGTTTATCCATGAATTTTAGGGCGGTATGTCCTCCTCTTACCTGGCGAAGGGCTGAGACATATACGCATCACCGTAATCACAAAAATCCCCACAAGGATTTATGCATCGAATTCAATAGAAGTTTGAATTTCTTAGTATCATTTGACTCCATTTAAATATTATCGACGGTAATAACAACTCACGTTCATGGTTGAGCTGATGTTTGTGCCAATGGGGTTGCATGATGATTTCTTCCATAATACCCGCTTGTTCCTCACTGAGCAATTCCTCTTCTATCATGGCATCTTTGATTACATCTAGAAAAGCAAATATGCTTTCAGTTGAATTGTATCAGAAAAGTCACATTATAATCAATAGGAACATACCCCAAGGAAAAGCCATAGACATCTCCACATTATTAAGCATTTTGATTTCGATAAATGACTGAATATATAGATTGTGTGATGTGGTGTGGCATGGTAAAATGCATATACAGGACAGGCTAATACGAATACGAATTTCGAGTGATCGTACTGTTAACTGTAATATTACATTTAGATTTTTGTTGACAAAGTTAGTTCTTTCTTAATTTTCAACATTTAAAACATAATCGTATATAACGAAGTTTTATCAACTACATTGACGAAACATAATCTTTAATTTTATATATTCGAATTTGATTAGTTTCTCCATGAATAAATATAAAAACAATCATGGGAGTTATAAAAGGGAGTTATTAAGTTGGTAACAACGAGGGCACCAAGTCAGTACCTGTGATTCCTCCAAGTGTGTCTGCCTTAACATCCAAAAGAAATAATGCATCATTTAGTTGGTGCTTCAATCGGTATAGGGCCTGCAGTGAAAGACTTGCGACGTGGGGTTTTGTCCATCTCTCTCCACTCGCTTCCACGTTCTCTTCATATTTGATCCACCTGAAATAACATATCGTAAGGTAGTCATGAAAGAGTCAATCCTGGGGAGTCAATAGACCCTTGATGACAAGTAGATTATGAATTAAACACATAAATGATACAGATTTTGTTTTTTGGAGTGGCCGGGCGAAGCACAACCAGTTCCAAACTCTGCTGACTAGCAAGGGAAGAATGACATTTAATGGTTTTTAGAAAGGTTGTAATTGTAATGTACCAAATCATGGATTTGTGTTGAGAATGAGTAATGGTAGTGTACCAAATCAAGGATTGGTGTTGAGAATGAGTAATATGAGTCTGCCAAGAAACTTGAAAGTGCAACACAAATAATGATGGGACGATTCTAAAAAGAATAAATAATTCCAATTAGAGTGATAACAACAAAATGTTGTTATTTTCAGCACTGACACGTATTTGCGCTCTTTAGCCAGTGTGGTAGTGTTTATTGTCCTCCTCCCTGAAGGACAATGATTTCTTTACATTTCGGATAACTTTAAGTTATTCGACGCCACTAATTATCGTGTTATTTACATTCTTAGCGTCTTATAACGTTACCTGCCATTAGTAGGATATTGTAAAACAATCCACTTGTGAATTGTAATCGCATTTATATTTAGAAAGTCCTTTGTTCAGAAATAGATTCAAGATAACAATGATATAAATTCAAAATAAATAAGGTTGATTTAAGTACAATGATCGGCCTGTGAACACTGCAATGATATATTTTCGAGTGTGCCATCATTACAAAACCATTATTCATTCTGGTTGTTATTTGACTGAAAAAGTTAAATCAAATATGCTAAGAATGTTTTTTGTATTGTAGTGACTCCTTATTGTTTAAATGGACACCACGTGGATACATTCGAGCCATTCAAAGTGAGACCTCGCTATAACTACCTGAAGCCCATTGAACCCCCTTAAAATGAAATGTTACTTCATAAAAACACACTACCCTACCACGTGACCACATTTAAAAATGATACAGGGTACGGTTAAGTTGCAAATGGAGCGGGTATTCTCTATCTTTGTCCATTGGGCTTTTCTGGTAATGACACGTTGCAAACTGCTCGATGAATCTATACAATGTATAGTAGAACACTTAGAATATGTGTAAAATCTAGTATACATTCAGAACTATGGAAATAAACAAACGTCCTCCATTTGCAACTTCCCTGTAGCCTGTACTTCTTTTAAAGGAATACAGGATACAGTATGGGGGTATAGTAGTGTGAAAAACTTAATTTCATAAACTAGACATATTAGGCGATGAAAGAATCCGTTAATACCTAGGATTCTAGAGAATACCTATGGTTAAACTAACTTGATCTTGTTACTGTTGATATTTACGGAACCAGTTGATATCAGAGATGACATTATTCTATGAATCTGGGATGAGATAATGGTAATGTCAGGCTCTGGCTCTATTCGCTGTAAACCATGATAACGTTGTGACTATGAATATACCCTTTCCAAATGAATCGTGTTGCCAATGTTTGATAATAGTTTTCTATCGAATATTGTATGGACATGAAATTGAGGATACGATTGTGTATTCCGGTACTCAACACATCTTTCTGTTCTGCAACTGATTTGAATTTTGCCAAAATGCCATATATGGTTATACAATAAAGGCCGAATTCGAGCGCGTGTATTTGGAAAATGAGATCCCAAAGTCTTGCTTTTATTATTTGAATCCACTCCATGCTGATGTGAGATTCGTGACTAGTGATTCAGTTGTAAACGTTGCATATTTGGATTAGATTCACCCATCATGGTGTTACCATGGTAATTTCAACCACAGATTGTCAATTCTAAAACAGGATATTCGTTGAATATCGAACATCAATTTAACATTAATTTAAAAGTTTCATCATGTATTGGTATTTATTTCTATTTTACCAGTCTTGGTCAGAACGATAAATATTTAAAAAATATTTTCGATTTCCAGATTCCAATGAGACATTAGACTTCTACTTTCTGGTTCAATTCACCTTGCTATTCTTCAATCAAGCATGGCTGAAAAAATCATAAGTTTGAAAGCTTCGCAGAGGTTTATTGTAGATATTTTTCGAATTTGGCGCCATTCGAAGGTCTGTCAAAACTTTCAGTAAAACTGGACAAGGCTCGCATTTTTAAGCTTTTGTGATATAATATGGGGACTTGAGAAGTTTTGTTTTTATAATTTCATTTTGTTGTCTTCTTGTTGCGTCGAACGTCAACAGAAAAGAAACACTACATAAACACTACGCCGATAGTTTATTATAGCTAATTTGGTTTGAATGGTCTTACACCAATAATGTTTAGATTTGAGATTCGCCGGGACTGATATTAATTGTACTTTCTGATTTCAATTATAATCTTTCATTACCTTGCCTCTTGGTGCCAGGCTTCTTCATATTCTCCTTTCTTCTGGTAGTATTCCTGTAATTCGCTGAACAACGGCCTCTCTTCGCTCTCTCCCTCCGAGGGAGAGGGGGCCCCAGCAGAGAATTCCACTCCACCAGCCTTACCCATTCTGATGTAATATTCTCAACGTTTACAGATATAAAATTTGTAAATCAATTTTGTTTTTGTTGTTTTCCGTGATATGTTTGTTATTGATTGAATCACAGACAGTTCATGATGTGAAACTGCGAAGAGAATAGACACTCCAAAATGGCTTCACCGCGCTGCTCCCAGCTCTGAACAGTATGAAGTCAATGTACGTATGCCACAAAGTCACACGGCAATAAAGGTTGTTCCCAAATTAGATCGTCATAAATAACAATTGTTTTTAATTTGGCAATTGACCGACAGTAGCGTTCCCGGTGCCAATAAGCGCATGTATCGATAACAAATGTACAAATATAGGTATACGTGTGGGGGGTTATCTTGAATGAACTAAACCAACATTTACTTAAACCAGGCTAAAGATTTTGCAATTATCTTACATATACTATGACATTCCATCGTTCCATAGAATATAGAAATTGTTAGCCTTGATGAATTATTTTGAAAGTTGAGAAAGTTATATTTTGAGATACTATTGTTTATTTTTAACTTTATATGAGATCAAGTATTATTAAATACTACTACACAAATTAAATAATAATTTTTAAAATAATAATGTCACTCATTATTGACAATGCTAATTATTTTTTGTTTTGTAATAATCCCAAATACTTCAAATTGAGTGCACGCACCTTCGAAAACCTGTAGATAGCACACTTTAGCTCAATGCTTTATTGTAAATTATATTTACACAAAGTAAGTGAGTGATCGCTTATAACAAAAATAGATCACAAGTTCCATAAAACACTGGAGTGTTGTTATTTAATTGATTGAAATGAATCTCGAGACAGAATACGATCAAGTAGAGACCTATCATTAAAACCCCTTGAGTAAACAACACAAAGTAATGGATGTCATATAACTTCTCACTAGAATTGTATTAAAATGTGTGTAATTTCTACATGTTCTGTAATGTAACCAAAATGAACACCATACATCACATAAGAAAGAAATACGACAACAGGAAAGAATGCTCTGGTATTAAAGAGGTTTAGTAATAGATAAGAAGTGTTTGATAAGTATTTTAGATGCGAAGTTCACACCTCAAAGATGAGAAGACGAGTGGGAAGTAACTTCCCCCAAAGTCTTCACCAAAGTAGAAGACAATGAATATTCTAGATCTCAGTTTGCATTTGTACAGTAAGCTACATATTATGTTTTGATCGCTATATTCAATTTTAATTCGGCAAACACTTCTGACTCTATTTCGTGATAATCGGAGCTGGGGACAGGATCATTTACAGTTTCCTCCATTCCTATGTTTTGGTATGCTCCTCTAAAAGAGGGATTCGTGTACATTTTAAAATCAAATACAATGATTCGATGCTTTGGAATGACATACACTCCCTGACTTTCAAAGGTTTAGACGCCAGGTTTTTATGTTTAATCAATTTCTGTATTATGTCGTAGAGTGGTAAAGTTGATTTTTAAGACGTTTATTTGGCCTGAAAGGATGGAGATAATATGGTTGTTAATGGTAACAAACATCAGGGAGTGTGCGGAGAAACATCATTTATCTCTTCGATACATTTCCACAAAATAGATATTCAGTTTTTATTCTAGTAGCATAGCAAGAATCCCAAAATAGGCAAGTCAATTTTAGAATGGTGCAAAGTCAGCATGCAGTTATGATTTGGGGGCAAGTCTGGTGAAAAAACTCAATTCTACGTAGCATAAATTTCACATGTTCACAAAAAGTATTTTTCTGCCATCGTTACTCTGGAAAAGAGTTTTCTGCTATTTGTTGAATTTCTACGCTCATGACTGACATATAAACATTCACCATTTTTCATTTTTGATGACATCTGTGACATTCCTGTTGTTAAAACTACACTTTTATAGTAACACATAAGTTAAGAGGTGTTATTTTATTTCACTTTAGAGGTTTTTGAAGTTGCCGCAGACCCCTGACCTCTGTTACGATTCACCGTGACAATCATATACTAACTTAACTCTATAGTATCACCCCATGCAGACAGATCGCCTAAAATTACATTCGTATGATGCTAGACTCGACATTCACCAGGAAACTTGAAATTTTTACTGCTTAATAAATGGTGAATGACAGTCAAATTAAGTTCTTTAAGTATGAGAATAGCACGACGTATTGATATTTCAAGGTAACTCGTTTGAAAAGTGATGGCGGAGATTGAAATTACGATGTAAAGATAAAACAGTAACGAAATATTTGTAGATTTTTTTGAAAAACTAAGAAATATACATCGCATATCGAATTTTCCGAAACAGAAAAACATGTATAAATAGGTAAGGCATGCAGGTCCAATTTCCCCTGGTAGCATTAACATTGGTCTCGTATATGTCATACAATTAATATTTGAAACGCAACTATTATTCGAATGATCAGACATTAGTATGATATCACTTTATTATCTTGAAGTAAACATCATACTAATGTCTGATCATAAGTTCGAATAATAGTTGTGTTTCAAATATTAATTTTATGACAAACAAACACGAGACCAATGTTAATGCTACCAGGGGTAATCGGATCTGCAGGCTTTACTAAACACAGCAAAAAATGCGTATGAGTACAATGAATCCTGACATCAGGATTCATACAGGATATGCACGCAGTGTGCCAATCCTGTATAAATTCTGACGCCTGGATTCATACAGGATATGCACACAGTGCCAATCCTGTACGTATCCTGAGTCAACTATACATGTTTTTTCTGTCTTGAAAAATTCGATATGCGATGTATATTTCTTAGTTTTTCAAAGAAATCTACAAATATATCGTGGGAGTTTTATCTTTACATCGTAATTTCAATCACTGCCATCACTATTCATACGGGTCACCTTGAAATATCAATACGTCGTGCTATTCTCATACTTAATGTGACTGTCATTCACCATTTATCAAGCAGTAAAAAATTAATTTGCTTCATGGATGGCAAAATGTTTCTAGTTTCCTTTTTTATATTTATATATATGTTTATATTATATTTAGTTTCCTGGTGAATGTCGAGTCTCGCATCATAGGCTACGAATGTAATTTAAGGCGATCTGTCTGCATGGGGTGAGTATAGAGTGTAAAACATTTTATCAAAATGCGATGTCTGTAAGTTTCATACACCAATCTAATTCACAGAAAGATGGCAGAGCAAGCATACTCGTACAGTGTACATTTTTTCAGGGCACGTTTATAATTATGTGGGAAGGGTGTGGGATGAATGATCAGGCAATTCTCCTCAGGAGACAAAAATAATTTTCAACTCTGAATGGAAATCGTTGCACGGGGACAAAAAAGTTTATGTGTTGATATCACAAAACAGCAAAATTATTTAGTAGTACAGGGTGGGCCGATAAAAAGGGGAGAATCATTCACATGTATTTTATTTAAAGCCCCACTATACTTAATTTAGAAGAAAAAAGAAAAAATGATCATTGAAACATATAACTCACACACTCACTCAAATATGACACAAAGTTTGATTTGCTTTAATATTGACTAAGAAAAAATAACTCACATAGAAACAATCATTTTGAGTTCAGAGATCATTAGACATGCATCATGCACAATGCACATGCTAAACAAAGTGCATGTTTTTAATTACTTTTGATTTAAAAGATGGCGACACTTCTATAAAATGAATGTATCATGTAATACAAATAACTTCGCCATCTTTCAATGCCATTGATAAAAACTTGATATATAAAGTATTTTTTTATCAATTATTGTAAGCTTTGATGTGGTCCGTTTGAGCTGTTGTTGGTGTCAAATGAAAGATAGCCTTCTTATCTACACATTGGACATTCTATAGAATTCAAATAAAAGTCTTTATTTTGCCCAAAAACATTGAAAATTCGCAAAGTGGGCCTTTAAAGGAGCGAAAATGAACCAAATGTCATGAAAGTTAATCAGTATCAAGTCTTAACATTTCAGTATATATAGAATTAAGTCAGAGAATGCATGTTTTCATTATTTTTGCTTGACACAATCAATGTGGTGTCAAAATTAGCTCTTGAAATCAGGCATGTCAGGCCCGTAGCCAGGATTTACCGGAAGGAGAGCAGCCGTTACCAAGGGGAGCTTTTGTTAAGGGGGGGGGGGGCTTTTTGACAGTTTTACGCAATGCATGATTTTGAAGGAATTTCTGGCCTGGGGGGGGGGGGGGGGGGGGCGCTCGCTCCCTCCCTCCCTCCGCCTGGTAACTGGTAACTGGAAACAGTGGTAACTACCTACTCGCATCTGCGTTATTGTCTTTCTGATACCGAGTTTTATTGGTCTATTCTCGAAGGTCACGATTTTATGGCCATTTTTATGCACCCGACCAGCTGGACCCATATGGAAAACCTCTACCTCACATTTATGGGAGTATTCATGAAGCACTACAGATTTTAGGGCTATGTCTATGTCAATAATCCGCAAAAGCCTAATAAGCCCAAAAGCTGATATAGATCTATAATTTAACAGTGATACAATTTGAATAGAATATAATTTAAAACCTTAACATTTAAAAATAGATCTTGGGTTTACAACTCATTTTAAACCTTCCTGGTCGGCCCCTGTACCCCCCTAGGAAGTCCCTTTATGTTGAAATACCCTGGGGCGACTGCCAGGCTTCACGCGTTGACATCACCCCTTTTTACCAGTAGTGCAGGCTTGTTGATCAGCACTGGGGACCTTTTACGTTAAAACATAGATCTATATTAAAAACACACCTATTTAATTGCAGTTATTGACTCTAGGCACAGTATGATCATTTAAAACTACTTAGACTGTCACAGTCTAAGATGTCACCAGCAGGTAGAGTGTTCCATTTTAATTTAGTTATTGTCCCAGGGAAATAGTTAAATGCATCCGTTCTAGTTAATTGCCGGAACTTAGAAGGATGAAACCTCATAAGTGAGCCATGACATCTCATTTCTTCTCAGCCCTGAGAAACAGAAAGATACTATGAGTATCAGAATGATTTTAGCAACAACAACAATTTTACGGGTATTTCAACTAACATATAGTTCACATACATGAAATCGATAACCCGAGAGTACAAGTAGAGAGACTCTCGGATTAAGAGAAAGGAGCGAACAAATTGCAGATTCGTTCGTAAATTTATCGTGGTACTCGTTCGCAAATATACTGTATTTACTGTATTTATGTAAAATGGAAAAAATGTAAAAATGTAAGTAAATGTAACGTTTGTATCTTGTATAACACTGGTTAACACTTCACAATATGCATCAACTATTCAGTTTTAGATATTTAGGAGCATTTAATGTTCAGAATTTGACATGCAATTACTTACCTTCTTCTAAGGCCACTGTATCGCGGCCTTCGTCCAAAGATAAATTCCTGCATCAGTGCATGTAGGCCTAATTATAGCCTAGTCTAACGCTTGCCCGTAGCCAGCTTTTACCAGGGGGGGGGAGCTTTTTTCCAGGGGGGGGGAGCTTTTTCACAATTTTGGCTAAAAATCATGCGAAAAATTCTCAGAATGGTGAAAAACTGCATGATTTTGAAAGAATTTCTGGCCAGGGGGGGAGAGCTTCCGCTCCCCCAGCTCCCCCTCTGGCTACGGGCCTGTAACGGGTCATGTCTTCATCATAAAATTTGAAACCAAATGTCCACCATTTTTCCACATCACAATTTGAATTTCGAGTTTTGGTCATATTAGATCTACCTCACCAAAAATTCATAAACACACATGAAGTGATCAACAGTAGAGCTCTACTGTTAACCCCCAAAGATTTTCTGGATTTTGCAGGACATCCACCTAAATTCATGGGACATTTAGGTTACTCGAGTCTCTAGCCAATACTTGGCTAGAGGTAATTTCATTTTGAATAATGTTAACTCCATTTGAAAAAAGCTGGCCGCCGTGCCATAAATTTATTGAGTATTTTAAAAATCACTAGATAAATAAATCTTTAGTAACTTGCTGTAAATTCTAAGTTAGCAATCCAGAAGTTGTGAACTAATACACTGATCAATTCATGTGTGTTTTGGAATTTTTGGTGAAGTAAAAAGACCAAAACTTAAAATTCAAATTCAAATTGTGATGTGGAAAAATGGCGGACATATGATTTCAAATTTTATGATTACGAAATGACATGCAGTTAACAAGGTTACCACCAAAGAATTCATAGAGGGACAGATTTTTTTAGACAAAGTGGCCTAAATTTGCGGGATTTGGTTCGAAATCCACCTAAATTTGCGGGACGTCGCAGGACATTCAAGGGATTTGCGTGATTGGGGCTTAATGTAAAAGTACTCAAAACTTTCAGATACTGATTTATCAAATATAATGCATTTCACTTAAGTAAATGTCAACACAATTCCACACAATACGCATAGAAATATTATTAAACTATCAAAAAAACACTCTTTAGGTGTGAGTAGTGTAATCCAAAAGTCCAACACGAAATTGAAAAATTCTAAACAATACTTTGCACTTTTGGCATTCGTGACCAACTATGTATTATTTACCCCCCATAGTGTTATATATTAAAATGTACCTTTTCATATAGGGGTTCGATTAATCTGCATTAAATCATAGGGAGTCAGGTTTCTTTTCGAGATATCAGTGTCCATTTATTGGAACTCGCGTTTGCTAACATTTGCTCAGTTCTGAGATGAAGGAAGTGACACAAGTAGTAAAAAGGCCAACGTTGGAATTGTTTGTGACATACATTCCTATTTTCGTAATTAAAATGGAAATTGCACTATTCCTCTTTATTTTGATACTAAATAACGGCAAAAAATCAAAGTTTTGTAAATGGACTATATGCTCTTTCCAAAAGCAGTCTTCGATAATCTGATACACAGGGAGTTTGGCTGCACTTTTCAAATAGGTAAACTTAACTCCTCAAAAGCGCAACAAAACTTTGCTCCTAATATCACAAGATAATCACAGTTATTTAGCCTCGGGGATTGTTACAATTTTGAAAATTCGCGGAGGTTAAAGCCGACATTTGCGGGACTTCGCGGAACATTGCGTAACACGCAAATTAGCCAAATTTTGATCAAATTCATGGAATAATCCCGACATTTGAGGGATACTTGACAGCTCTGGATCAATGTTTTAGTTCACATCTTCTGGATCGCTAACTTAGAATTTACAGCCAGTTACTTATGTCAGACATTAACGACATTCCGTCCAGTTTTTGAATATCACCATTTTTCTTGGAGCCATTTTGTTATCCCATCGAACAAAGTTCGGAGGGATTTAGGGAACACCTCCGTCCGTCCGTCTGTCCGGGCAATAACTCAAATACAGTTGGCCTGATTTTGTTCATATTTTGTACACATATACCCTATGGGGGTAGAAGTTCTGCTCGAGAGCCGATTTTCATAATGGCTGCTCATTTTAAAATGGCGGTCATTTTAGTGCCGATTTTACAGTAATTTAGGTGCGATTTGTAAAACTGTAATAGCAATATGTTTTAAATGCAAAAAATATGTATGTGAATATTATAAGCATGGCACACTGTCTAATGACACCTTTGGTAGAAGGTGGCCATTTTGAAAAGAGAAGAGTGGGGTTCACTCCAAATAATTTGGGTAGGTATGTGCAACACAGTTTTGGCTTTGAGCATAAAACATGAAAATTGGCCAATCTGAGACGAAAAAAACATGGAAAATTCTCTAAGAAAGTACCATTTATAAGTCAAAATTCAGTTTTTCTACAAAAAATTGTATCAAATTTGTCAAATCAGTTGCTGAAGCCTGGAATATATCACTAGAAATATTGAATTTTTTAGTCTATTATAAGTCTCAGAGAAATTAAACCTTCAATCATCAGAGGAAATTGACATGGAAAAAATGCTCAAAAAGGGGGTCTTTGGGGCGGCACATAGGTATTAAGAAGTATATTAGAGTGAAACCTCCGGGAGCAATAATTCAGTCTGAGCTTATTACTTACTGACATTCTGTTAAAGGCATCTGTATATGGAAATATTTTGAAAATTTCTTGTACAAAATAATGAAGTTTTATTTATGAAATACTCAGACTATAAACATCCTATGTCACTGGTGATCCGCTCGATTACGCTGGTTACCGAAACGGTTCGCTTTGGTAACAAAATGTCGGAACGTCGAAGGTATGATCTTTCTTTTTTCCTTATTTGACATGTTGTAGGCAGAATCCTCATGACGTTTTTCTCACAAACGTATATCAGTATCGTATGTTTTAGAAAATGTACATGTTTGCATGAAAAAATAGCTCAGAAGGCAACAGAATCGTCGATTTAATTCCTCACTTAAGTTACATAAACAGTTTTGGTTAAAAGTGCAGATCTTAACTGTTTTTCGAAAAACCGTTTATGTAACTTAAGGGAGGAATTAAATCGATGATTCTGTCGTCTTCTGAACTATTTGTTCGCAAATATGTACATTTTTTCCTAAACATATGATACTGATACATGTCTGTGTTAAAAATGTCATGGGAATTCTGCCTACAACGTGTGAAATAAGGAAAAAAGAAAAATCGTACCTTCGATGTTCCGACATTTTGTTACCAAAACGAACCGTTTCGGTAACCAGCCTAATCGAGTGGACCACCAGTGTATGTTAAATGTTGTGTTCAAACATATTTTTTTATGTAAATTATAATTCAAAGTGACTGATGCTGTAAATTAACTTGCATATTTTTAAGTTCCATTAGCTTTATCTCTACTAGACAATATGCTTTCTTATTTTTTATGGCATTTAATTGTATCTTACTACCTAATTGAATTTTCATAATGTCTATTTTATTAAGTAATGCTTCCTCTAATGAATTGATAATTTAGTGCAATACAATTCATTGCAATAACCACACGACAGATAATAAGTCTGTTGGATACTAATCAATAATGAGGTAAGAAATATGTATGTAGCTGGTGCAGATATTTTTGGACTTATGAAATATAGCGTGTGGTTCTATTGTATATGCACCAATGACTTGTGTATTTCCATGAACATGTGCCTTTAACACTACAGTAAAATTTTAAATGTTTGGAACTACTTTGAATTTGAAAAATAAACAATCAAAGGACTGTATTGCAACAGTATATGAAAAAATAGAAACATATATAAAAGTCCTAACTTTTGTATATTTCAGATAGTTATGTATAATTTGCAGCAAAGCCATGGCCTTTTGTAATCTAGGGAGTTCCAGCCATGTTAATTTTTCCGAAAATAACATGGCAGAGAAGCATCAAAATATAAGAGGCCACAGATAAGCTAAACTACAAAACAAACTTAAATATACAAAAGTTAGGACATGTATAAGTATTTCTATTTTTACATACTGTTTCAATATGGTCCTTTGATAGTTACACTCTACCATACCTAACCCCTAGAAGTGCATAAGATACTCTGTTTGTCCAATTGTATTGTTAAGTATATTTTTGAAAGTTCCTTATTAACATCTAACGTCATCCATTTTTTGCGTGTTACGGGGCTTATGGATGCAATTTTCCAGGGGGGGGGGGGTATGGATGCAAATTTCTGGGGGGGGGGGTATGGATGCAATTTTCTGGGGGGGATAGAAGCAATTTTCTGGGGGGCGTAGCAAAAAAAAATTCTGGGGGGGTCTCAGCCTATGCATCCATACATTTTTTAAATGAAATGGCCTATAACAGTAATATTTTAAATGTTTGGAATTAGAGTCAATACGTCTATTTCCAAACACCCCCATCAAAAAATGTAGGTAGCTTGGCTGTATTGCACATCTGTAGAATAATTTTATATATGTTATGTGAATAAGACGCTGTAAAACGCATTTGCAAAAAAAAATATTCTGATGAATTGTCAAAAAATCTGGGTTATACCACTTTAAATACAATGTATTTTAGGGGGGTAAATCCAAACAGGAGATCTTTTAGGGGGTAATTCCGAACACTAGCATGGGGGTAATTCCAAACACTTATCTAAACTTCATTGTTCTACTTGTTAGATTGATGGTATATCATTAAATGGTACCCTGAACTAGTGATACAGGATCCTGACACCCCTGCATATCAATAACCCCAAATATAATTGATTTATATGTGACATCTATTTATTTAAAGGCATAGGGTTTGTGGGGGTAATTCCAAACACTAGCATGGGGGTAATTCTGAACACCTAAATCATCATAATTGATTATTTTATCGTTAGAGTGTTGGTATATATCATTATATGGTATCTTTCAGGATAAAAAAATTATATAGAGGTAATAGAGGTACTATTATTCAATTCAATGATTTGCTTGCCATTGTTTGCAACCTGTTCAGGTTTACCCCCCCTGTTTGGATTTAGACGTATTGACTCTACTTTGAATTTAAAAAATTAGCAATCAAATGACTATATTGCATTAGTATATGAAAAAATGAAAACATATGTACAAGTCCTTACTTTTGTATATTTCAGATAGTTATGTATAATGTGCAGTAAAGCTGTGGCCTTTTATAATTTAGGGAGTTTCAGTCATGTTAATTTTTCTGAAAATAACATGGCAGAGAAGCATCAAAATAAAGATAGCTAAACTACAAAACAAACTAAAATATACAAAAGTTAGGACATGTATAAATTTTTCTATTTTACATAATCTGTTTCAATATGGTATTTTAATTGCTTATTTTTAGATTCTAAGTAGTTCCAAACATTAAAAATTTTACTGTAGCCAAGGCCTAATCATTGAATTTCATTTTGAATATTCAACATTCATCTAAAGTCTAGATCTATTTTACTATAAATTAGAAAATCTAGGCTTAGGGCGAATGAATGCTGATACAAATTAATTGCAGAAAAGTATACACCATAAATCATATTAACCAAAATGAGTGTCTCCAAGGTTTCATAGCAGCGTATGCATAATGCATTTGTCATTGAGTCGGAGCTGAAATTTCGCTAAAATGAATTGAGGGTAATCTCCGCCAGGTCTGTTTATTGTGGTTAGCTTTCATTGGTAAGCGCTCAGAAGCAAATTATTCATGTGCGCAAAATAATCAAATGATCAGATTGGTTTAAACTTTCATGCGCATGTGCCATTTTCAGAGGAATAAAACCTATATTCATTTTATCAATAAGTCAAGGTTGAAATAACCGGGAAACCCAAAATAGGATAATATGCTCCAATACGATTTTTTCCCGGGGACTATATGATTTTTTCATGTAATACGATTCAATACGATTTTTATTCCTTCATATTTCCCTGGGAAAACAGTAGTATTATGGAATAATATTGTATATCATTGGTTTCTGTGAGAACTAAATTTTGAAAAGAATTTTTCTCTGGACCATTTTCATGCATGGATGAGTTCATTTCTTGCTTATTTATGAACCAATTACAAGTGTATAAACAAATAACAAAAAAGCATCTTGGAATTGTGTCACCATCATGATTCAGTGGACCAAAACAGGCCAGTAGGGGGCCTGTGAAAACTGAAAAGTCATGTGGGGGTCAAAATATGTCACAAAACAATTAAATATTGCATATTAAACCACTACCAGTTGAACACAACAGTTGCCATACAAAAATTAGCACTTTTATTATTGATCATTGCATTATGACTCAGAATTATTGCAATAAAGTGGAAATCTATTCAATTCTTTTGAATTAACACCAAAAATATTGCAATGATAGAAATATTAAAGCTCATGCAATCAGGCAAACACAACAATCACATGATCATGCCAATTGATATACATGTAATAGGGCAGGAAACGATCAATTACTTTCTTGTAATAACAACATTCAATTTGACAAATAACAGCTTATTAACAGTGTGCCTAGATTGTTACTCACTTTGGGCATGAAAGGTTTGTCACATTACATCGTGTCGGTACGGTAAAAGAAATTAATACAATGAATTTCAGTAAAAATTTAAAATAGATTCCTGTTGAAACGGTAGGTTGGTAGGTCTAGAACCCAAGGCAGGAAAATATTAGGTCTGGGGGGTGGTCCTTGCCCATTTGTTTTTTTTTGTTTTTCATTTCAACCATTTTAACGTAAACACAACATTACTAGATATGGTCAATTTTTTCTCTAACTCTGTTTAGAAGCTTCCTGTGGGAAACACTGACTGGTCAGTTGGGCCAGCCTTTTTGTAAACTCTTCTACTTACATGCATATTCTGTGGCACATGTCACATTTCTAGGAGACTATTTGCACGGTGTATAACCCAAACGCTCCTACATGCACGACGGAGCGTTACATTTACGCGGAAACGCTCCGGAGCGAAATAAAATGGCGGCTAATGAAGATTCTACTATGACCGTAAGTATTGTTTCTCTCGTTTCTCTTACATATCATATATCATGGTGAAATATTATGTACCATTCGATGAACAATACCGTGAGCAAAGATCTTATTTATTCAACTTCTGGTGGTAAACTGTTATTTGCTTGATCAAAGCTCCGTAGTGTAGATCGAACGAATCTGAAGATGACGATTTGACCACAAATTACGAATTAAACTAGTATTTCTATGAAAACGTTAATCTTTCTGTTTAAGTAGTATATCACAAACTCGTATATTCTCATTTCCTAAAATCCCAGTCCAAATCCATTACTTGTTCTCGAGAAATCGCTTGTTTTCCTCGAAACGCTCCGTCGATTTAGACCACAATTTTAGAAACGCTCTTACCATTTTGTTTTGATATCATTTTCAGATTATTAGAAAAGAGTTCCGAATCGAATCTATCTCTCAAAAACGTGTTGTACTTGTTAGGCAAATTGAAACATCTGAACCTGGTGGTGCTAAACGTGCAACTAGCTGATTAAAGCCTATACATTAGATGATGTCATGCCTACATATGTGCTAAATCATAAAACTATAGAAAAAACGAAAAGTTATATGTGAATTAATCTTTCTTCTATTGATGCCAAGGGGTATAATAGATCTTTTCTTTCTCTTCCTGAAAAGGAAAGGCAAGCTATATATTTCCTTAACTGATCTAGACTACCGGAGCGTTTCCAATTCACTGTGTTAACCAGATCGGAGCGTTTCTTGAATATGAGAATGTCATCATTTTTAAGACTGGATTTTCGGTCATCAAATCACTATTACGATAATGTATGGTGCGTTGAAGCATTGGGATTTGACTAAAATATACGTTGGTGTTCTAATCTTGGCTCAACTAATCACATGTATCGACAAAAGGGGTTTTGACCGGTAGAATGACAAATACGTTTTTGAATTTTGATAACTATACTGCTTCGTACAGCTCTTCCTAATTGCTTCAAACGTCAACAGTCAGCCACGTACAACATGAATATCACACCCATCGAATGGTATACTCGAAATATGTAACTCATACCTCTTATTCCCATTATTGGGGAAATTGTCAGACGGCTCATCATTCCCGCCAGACAGTTTTCCTACTCCGGAGCGTTTCTTTGTTTAATTTCAGTAATGAAACGCTCCGTCGTGCATGTAGGAGCGTTTGGGTTATACACCGTGATTTGGGTAGTCCTAATTTATTGTATTGTTAAGTTGAATTTCAACATCTCCTTATAGAGAACTCAAGCTTACAATGGGGGTAACTGAAGCACAGGCTGCGCTTGGACCAGACTGGGAGGGATTTCCCGATTCGTTAATTCTGCACATCTTCCATTTTCTTGACGCCCATACTCTGCTGCGTGCTGCTCAGACATGCAAGACATGGAATCGTGTGGCGATTGATGAACTATTGTGGAAAGATCTTTTCTATTGTAAATGGAAAATTGAACGAGGAATAAAAATGGCGCCACATAAAAATGAATGGCGCAAGGAATACAAACGTCTGCATTATCACTCTCCTAAAGTTGAAAGTGAGGTACTTGACTCACATAAGGATCAGGTTCTTCATGTTAGTTTCTCTCACAATGGGAAAATGTTTGCCACCTGCTCTAAAGATGGTTTCATAAAGGTAATTATTTTTTGAATTGTGCAGTTTAAACAAGATGTGAATTCTTCATCTCAAAGCACAAGGTTTTGCAGAAAATTTTTCAGTCTTTCAGTTTGAGTTGATCAACCATCACAAATATGATAATGCTTTTCACAGTTGTGCTATTTGTTGCCTCAAATAGTAGTTGATTTATGTTTGAAATTTTTTTTCACAATTCCAGGTATGGAATGCTACCTACCCCACCAGGATTAAGTACAGTGAAGACCTGCGTGGTCTTACATGGAAATACACCCAATTCTCTCAGTTTAATGAGAGTGACACCCTGTTGCTAGTGTCTGGCGTCCATTTTGGTTCTAACAGCACCTCGGGAGAAATCGCTGTCTTCAGTTTAACAGGTAAATTGGTCTGTTTGCTCATACTCATATGTTTGCAATCAAGAGTAAATAGTTTTGAACATAATGAATACAGGCATATGACAAAAGAAGTACTGTAATAGTTGAACTAATTGGAAGAAGAAATGTTAAACTTATGAATTCCTTTGCAATTTAATGTCATAAGGCCCAGTAAAATCTTCACTTATGTAAAAAATGATTTCAACAAGTAAATAATCTGCATTATATGTTTGAGGAATTTCCCCGTGAACAATTCATCATCACTCTACTATTTTTATTGATATTTATTTTATTGTAGATTCATTCACTCTCCAGAGCAGTCTCCAACAAGCCATATAACATGATATTTATTTTATTGTAGATTCATTCACTCTCCAGAGCAGTCTCCAACAAGCCATATAACATGATATTTATTTTATTGTAGATTCATTCACTCTCCAGAGCAGTCTCCAACAAGCCATATAACATGATATTTATTTTATTGTAGATTCATTCACTCTCCAGAGCAGTCTCCAACAAGCCATATAACATGATATTTATTTTATTGTAGATTCATTCACTCTCCAGAGCAGAGTCTCCAACAAGCCATATGACATATTTGGCACATGGTTCAATGACAATCACCTTCTATCAGGTAACCTTCATTGGCAAGGTCACCTCTCATCTGCAACTGTCCTCTGGCTCAATAAGGTAAGAATGTTAAAATCATTCCATTCCTCTCTATGCTACTCTCTCATTCATATCTGCGTTTTAGTCGATGTAATGTAAGTTCTTGATTTTGGCATTAAACTTCATGTTCTGTTTTGTGTTTAATATTAAAGTATTAAAAAAATTAATGTGTATTTATATTCATAAATTGAAGTTTATTTTGATCGATTGAATAGTTTTCATCCTAGCATGACATCTATACTTACCTGTGAAATTCAATGTACTTACTTACCTGTGCACATGTACTGTAAATGTTTCCGTCATGCGCGTTGTGCAATTTTAAAAATCATGTACAAGTAGAATGAGTGATAGAATTTCATTTAAGGCTTTGGACCTTGGAGCACTAATTCCTTATGATGGTATTATTATTGTACATGTACTTTTCCAAATGCTTTATTGTCATTTATCTTACACTGATGGGTGTCTTGACAGAGAATTCACTTATCCATTCAACCTTTTTAAATTTTTACAGATGCAAGAGATGCCAAGATCTGATTATTATGTTTTAGGCATGCTTGGTAAACTACGTGGTGCCATTACATTTTGAATTTTTGGGGTTAAACAATGGTGATATTTATCACCATGTGTCTTTTCTCTTTCAGGCCTATCAAGAAACGGAATCTGAAGTGGAAAGTGTTGTAATGCAACTTCTCAAGTTCTACAATGTCAATGCAAGCTCCATTAGAACCATTATGGTAGCCAACTGTTACGAACCACAATTTGACAATGATGTTCCACAAGCCACTGTAGAGCAAGTAAAACCTGACATTGATGAAGTCCAAGATGAGGAAGATAAATATGCCGCTATTGTTTCGTCTCCTTCTGGTGTTCAAAAAATGCAAATATTTGACGATCACCAAGGAATGCATTTCTTAGAAGTAGACGCTGATGACCGTCATCTGGTGAACATTCATGGAACAATCGAGTATAATACGGAATACAGGAGCGCTGAAACTAAAATGGAGCAAAATTACAATGAACACAAAACTGAAGTCAAGAATGCGAAGCTGAGAAAAGCGGCAAGGCAGGATTATCTGTTGCGGAATGAACATAAACGACCTCGTCAGGAGTCAGGCACTTCTGACGTTGATATGAAACAGGCTCGAAGTGATAGTAAAGAAGATGAACCAGTTTTATTTTCCTTGAACCCAGACGATAATGGAGGAGAGATACAAAAGTCAAGTGTTCCAATGGACACAAATGTTTCAAAATGTAGTACCCAATCTTCATCTAGTGATACAAGAAATCTTTCAATGCCAAATGAGCCAAATGAATCACAACTCAATTCTTTCACATTGCCAAAACACTCCTATGATCAGAGTCAGCAAATGAGAAGCACAGAAGTGTCAAGGACATCAACTGCAAAATCAGATGCAAATGCAGATAATATGACTGTTATACCTGTAGCTGCAGGAGACATGGCAGAATGTTCGAAGTCCTGTTCAGAACCCTGTTCAAGAATACAAGCAGATAGTGCTTCGTGCAATGTTGCGTTTTCAAGTGATACAGCAACACAAATCATCAGCTCTTGTAGTAGCTCAGACAGCTGTCTATCAGATTCTTCAAATTGTTACTTAAACCCAGCAAAATCTTTAAAACTTCTCAAGTCTCAAGATAAATACCTAATCTTCACAACGGGGGTTAAGACATGCACCCCACATCAAATTGGAGTGAAGCGGATGTCTCCTGATAAACTTGACCTGAAACTAGACAGAAAGCAGGTAGGCCACATATAAAGTAATAGTTTAATTCTGTGAAACTCAAATAATATGGAGTAGAATATAAATTAGATAAAGCAGGAAAATATCTATATCATGCATATCATTTAAACCCACAAGTGTTTCATCATCGATAGAGTGCATCCTTGTCGCAGAAATCTTTATCCATAGAAAGCACATAGGGAAAATAACAAAGGCTGAGTTTGGATTAATATGCCCTTTTGGTCCCTTGCTTATATGTTTGTGAAACAATTATTCACAAGTTGAATATTCAGAAATCTAATCTTTCAAAGACTGATTTTCAGTTCATGTAAATGTCAGATAACACTTCAGAAAAGATTACTTATTTCAATTTTTAGAAAAATATTTTGCCTGATGTTGAGGGAAACCAACAAGGTCTTGGCGCAGGGCCAGATCACTATGACGATATAGATCACCTGATTGATTTACACGGTCACATCATTGGAATGAGCCTCTCTCCAGATCACAGGTAAGTATCAGACATGGGATGGCCAATACACAGCAAGTACAGGGTGTTCAAAAAAAAACGCAACCCAAAGAAATTGCTATATCTTTAAAAATACTAGTTCAATTATGTTCATTTTTTCAGGAAAGAAAGAAGAGACTGTGTATGTATAGCTCCTGTATTTGGTTAGTTGTAAAACATGATGCATTGGACACCTGCTCAAAAGACAGTTGTACTAGGAAAATACAGAAAACCGAGTCAGGGCTGACTGCAACCTCAAAAAAACTAAATAACTTCCTAGCCATAGTGTTTTGGCTCTTCAAATTTGGCACAAATCATCTTCATTCACTGTATGGTAAATCTGTAAAGTGAAATTAAAATCACTTCAGGGACTTTACAGTTATGGTCGAAATGCTTTCAAATCTCAGTCAAACGCCCTGGTTCCGGCAGACTTCAGAAGGCATTTTGACCATGACTGTAAAGTCCCTGAAGGGATTTTGATGAAACTCCACAAATTCACCACACATTGAATGAGGATAATTTGAGCCAAATCTGAAGTGCCAAAACACTATGGTTAGAAAGTTGTTAGGTTTTATTGCTGTGGCGTCACCTCTGACTGTGTTTTTCGTATTTTCCTAGAACAACTGTCTTTTGGGCAGGTGTCCAATGCATCATGTTTTACAACTTACTAACAAAAGGAGCTATACATACACAATATCTTCTTTTTTTTCCTGAAAAAATGAACATAATTGAATAAGTATTTTCCAATATATAGTGATTTTCCATTCACGTTTTTCGTATTTTCCATGTTCGACTGCCTTTTGGTCAGGTGTACAAGACATCATGTTTTACAACTAATTAACAGCAGGAGTTGTTCATACACAGTCTCTCCTTTCTTTCCTGAAAATATGAACACAATTGGATAAATATTTTCCAAGATATAGCGATTTCTGTATGATGTTTAGTTTTATGGAAAACATAATTTCTTATTCACATATTTCATCAATACCGTAATAAGTTTTGTAGTTGCAAGAGAATGGCTTTCATTTTTTTTTTGTTAGCCAGATTGAGAAAGCAATAACTTTTTCTCCGTTTTCTGAAAGGTTTCCAAAAGTTCAAATTCCCCAGACCAAATTCTGATCTGTTCCTAGCCAGTTTTTGCACAACTTGATTCAAAGACCAGCAGGCCTGACAGCAGCCTGTTAATTGTCCTGAAACTGATACAGCCTGTGTTAACCATGATTTGTCAAAACTCTCAACAAAATATTTGGTAGTTTTGAAAATGCCACCAATAACAAATGGCATACTTAGATAACTTCTAAACTCAATACATGATGTGAAACTAACTGTTTCAGATACCTCTATGTGAATAGCCGCACCTGGCCTAAGGGTTATGAAATAGAGGACCCCCTCTACCCACCACCAATAGCCCAGGAGATTGACATCCACGTTATAGATTTATTGACGATGAAGGAGGTTGGGACAATGTTTCGTGCTCATAAAGCTTACACTCCCAATGATGAATGTTTCTTCATCTTCCTCGATGTCTGTGATGAATATGTAGCAAGGTAAAAACTATTACTCTTAGTTTAAAAGATAAAAGACATACAGTGAAACCCATGTGAAATTTTTGACTTCAATATTTCCAATTTCTTTCGTGCTGACTTGGGATATTGAGATCTCAGCTCACATAGATTCTATGGATAGAAATGCTTTTCCGAAAGGGGATCTGTCCAATAAAAAATCCAATCCACTCTGTGCTTTTAATATAATGTATCTGTTATTTACTAGTGAGCCACCTCACCCCCATCCTGTTAGTTTCAATTTTCTTGCTTTCAGTGGAGCAGAGGACAAACATGGCTACATATGGGATAGGCACTATGGGATATGCCTGGCCAAATTTCCACATGACAATGTCGTGAATTCTGTGGCATTTAACCCAAAAGATCCAGAGACATTAGTCACAGTCAGTGATGACTTCACAGTGAAAATATGGAGGTCACTGAATCGAGAAAAGGAACTGAAAAAATCATGTAAAACACAACAAACTGAACATGTAATTCCTGCAAGTCGAGCTCATAGGAGGCTTAGAGGCATGCATGCATGGGAAAAAGATACATAGACAAAAATATGGGCAAACTATTGGTAAAAGGTATGTCTTGAATCAAGACCATGATCCCATATACCACTTATTAATCTCTATCACAGAGTGTACTTTGTGCAGTCCCCCTAGTCTCACCAGAAATTGAACCACTACAGTCAATCATATCATATGATATTAGAGACCCAAGGAGCTTGGTTTTATAAATTCTCTGTGATAATGAGGTGCTAATATGTTTGTTTAGATGCAAGATGTGTCAATTAATTACAAAATTATATGTTTTTGTCTTGCATCAACATACGGACATAGGCGGACGAGGCAATTGCCTTGCCACAATTTTAGCAGATCTTTCCAATAAACCCTGCCACCTTTTGATAATCATAGAAACTATGATTTATTGACTCACAAGATTGATGAACATTTTCACAATAAACGATAAGTTAATCCTATTTTTACTTGGACGTATTGCTTCTGTGAAGCCCTACAACCTATGACATCATCAATCTAGCCAATATATCCCAGGTTCTTTGAGATACCAAAAGGTGTCGGGGTGTATTGGAAAGGTCTACTATAAAAAAAAATTCCTGAGAAAGAAGATTTTCTTTTTTTTGATACAAGACGATAGAAATCCACTGAAATTGTTAATTTTTATTTGATCTTTGATGTTTATCTGATGATTAATGTACATGCCAAAAATGTCAAAAAGTGCCATTGGTTACATAGGAGGCTTAGTAGACATTTTAATTCATATTCTACTATGAAAAAGATTTTTTCCTGAGAAAGAACATTTTCTTCTTTAAGTGCAAGACAACAGAAATACACTGATCACTAATCAATTGAGACAATATTTTTACAAGTAAGAGATGCTGTTTAATATACACAGAGTTTGTCTAGTCTGTTTTACCATGGGTATTATGTCACCACCAGACTGCCAGAAGTGGTGACATATTGTTATAGTCTCTTTTTTGTGGACAGTGTTAGGTGGTTGGTTTTCGGTATTTTTAACTGCGTTTATAACAAATGGTTAATAACAAATAGCAGTGTCTGTAACAAATGGCAGGTGGTGACATTTCGCATGTTAATGCCTTGTTTTATATTGTACAAAACCTAACTTTTGTATATTTCAGATATTCAGTATATTAAATTGTATTGTATTGTATTAAATCTGTTGTCTCTTATAGTTTTACGATTGTCATCTGTGATGTTTAGATGTCAGGTTTTACGAATTGTCATCTGTGATGTTTAGATGTCAGGTCTCTGATGGCAAAAAAGGATGACATTTACCAAAAGTCAAGATTTTTTTGCTAATCTGTAAAGGATCAAAATATACGAAAGTTGACAAATCTGATGTATATTTTTCATTTATAATTGCAACATGGTTCATCGATTGTAAATTATTAAAAACAAAAGTGCAGTAATTATATTGACTTCAATTATATGAGAGTATGTACACTTATATTTTATTTCTATATAGACTAAATAAATGCATACATGGACATCAATGCCTTTATTTGATATTAGGTATTCGCAGAATATCTCGTATATCCATATCTTTGTGAAATTGTGCTGTTTCTCAACTGAATAGAATCATTACCCACAAAGCAGTTTTTATCAGATTTTCAACTTATTTGTTGTGATGAGACAGCATGCAGCTTAATTGAAGGTTTATGAAAATAAATTCACTTTAAAATCTTGTGGACAGACTGGTTGTTGTGGTCAATATGAAACTCCCTGAATAATCACTGAATGTGAATCAATAAGATACAGATTCAATATATGAAATGGTTTAGAATAAATAACACCCAAGAATATATATTTTCAAATGGTTCTAAATGTTAAACAAAAAAAGTTCAAAAACTTAATAGTTCTGGAATCAGACAGGTAAACTAAATATGTCCTGCAGGCCCGTAGCCAGGGGGGTTCGGGCGAACCCCCCCCTGTTCAAAATTTCTTTCAAAATCATGCAGTTTTTCACCATTCTGACTAATTTTTGAGTGATTTTTGGCCATATTTGCCAAAGTGAACCCCCCCTAGATTTTTTTAGAAAAACGAACCCCCCCTTGGAAAATTCTGGCTAAGGGCCTGTCCTGTTTGTCCTCTTTATATATATGTTTCAAAGAATCTATAGAAAACAAACCCAAAAATGTTAGGTAACTGCAATAGCTGAACTAGGTGATGCAAGAGCTAGATTCCAAAACAGAGTGATAGTAATGAATTATGAAAATAAACCAATAATTTTAATATATGCACACATGTTCACATATTGCAGTATACTGTACTCCTGGTAAATTTTGACGCTATAAAATTTTGCGATTTTTCAAAATTGCAATTTTTCGCGGATTTGAGTTGATGACATCTCGCGGATTACACAAGTTGAATTTTTTCCCCCAGCTCTTCATAATATTAATATAATTACATGCCTTTTTACAAATGCATGAGCTTAGCAAGTACATCAATTGTTGATATAAAATTGAACAATACCCCATGTTAATTATCGCCCAACAACACTGGAGAAACGTTTAACACGGAACGAAACATATCCAAAGTCCCGGGTCAAATCCCCAGGGATTTAAAAGACAAATTTCGCGACGACAAATGTTCGTGATTTTACTACATTCGCAAACAAAGCGAAATTAAATAGCACGCGAACAATACCTGGAGTACAGTATGCCATTATAGTAAATTGTAATCTGACATTGTTATTCTTGATAATGAATGGTTATCTGGAAGAAACCTCAACATCAAATATAATTCATATATCTTTCAAAATTGCATACAGAATCAATCATTCTACAATGTCATTTGCATTAGGCAGCATATTTTCAAATGTTCCCAATGTAGAATTGACTCTAAAGCGATCATCATGATGTTTTACCTTCACCATGTAAACAATGAAACACTAAAATGAGTACATTGAAACAAACCCCCACATTGATGGAGGAGCTATTTCCAGACATTCACTTAATGTTAAACATCTCTTCCTCGACTGGTTTCTTCACCCAAGTCCCATATTTATTCAGCTTACATTTTTCGTATAAAATCTTTTTAGCCTTTTGAAAGTCCGCAGCAAGTTTTTTTGTTTCACAATAAGAATCACATGCCAATAAATCCTGGCGGCCCAAGGCATTGCACGTTTCCTGGAATCTATCGGAGAGAGCACGTTTTGATACTTGGGAGACTCTACCTTGACCTTCCCTGGAATAAACACATGCATTATATCATTCTTACTGGACAGATACATTTATCCATTAATTTATTTAGTTTTATTGAAGAACAGGATACAACTGATAGAAATACTTGTACACAGTTGCCATGATTTTGTTGGCAGAAAGACAGACAAACAAACAAGCTGAAGATTGCTCACACATGTTAGAAAGGTAAAATAGCAAGTACATGTAATGTGGGCCATGTGAGTTGAATCTGTAAGTAAGTAATGTAAATAAATCTGTAAATGGTATGTACCTCTCTAGACACTGTCCTTTAGTGCCATCTGTCACTTCCGCCTTCGGGTCCCCAAGACACCAGTTAATGCTTAACGATTTGGTCTTCTCAGTCTCTCGGGATGCATCATACACCGTGACCCGCCCCAGGAGGGGATGGTTCACCTTGAAGCCTGGGGGTAGGTACTCTTGGATGTCAGGCTCTCCATGGGTCAAGCGACAACAACAGGCTCTTGCCAGGTGGCCATGGTCATACAGGTATCCTATGGAAAAATAAGTATATAAATCAAATATCCTCTAAAATGCGATCCAATATTTTCCTCATATTTTCTCATCAAATTAATGTGCATTAATTATAAAGAAACTTATACATGCTAACTGTAATTGAACCATCTTTTTGAATGGTATTAAAAACACAACAATATGACAAAGAACATGTCTGACTATTTTTAGTGTATACAGGGTATCCCGAAAGTATTGGACACTCCCTAGGCAGACATATGATGCCTATCATTCAATTAATATATCTTTTTAACTGTTTTGCCAGTCTGATTTCTGACTTTGACGATAAAACATGGCAGGATTATTGTATGATACTAATGGCAAAAGAGGACGGTGGAGGATGGTCTTAAAAATGTTTTAAGAGGACTACAATATGCCACACCCCTATTTGAAGCGTTTTTAAGGTCATATCCAAAAATAATTGCTGCTGTTAACATGGCCAATGAGGAAAGAGACACCGACTGTTAATTTGGTGTAAAACTGAACTTTAATTTTGGCTAAACACTAAATTTTGAAATGCCTGTAATCTTTTCCATCTGTGAGTTGAACCATGGTACAGTACTTGGTGAATCAATTCAACTTTGGAGACATGGGTATGTCTGCCTAGGGAGGGGGGAGGTCCCATACTTTTGGGGCACCCTCTTCATATTTGCTATAAGATAATAAAAAATATTTAAACTCTGAACACCCATATGAATCAGCGAATCAAATTGAAGACAACTTACCTAAAGTTAGAGAACTCAAATAGATTGGTTCTAAAAAGTTGCTCAAGAGGGCCCCTTGGAGACCTAACAAATTCCAGCGGCATATTTTATCACTACAAGACATTGTCCGTAACCTTTCCCCACGTAGAATGCCATCCCATGTTTGTGTGGTGAAGTCAGCTTCTATAGGGATCGTTCCTTCACCTGCAACAATGTAAGTTACCAAATATATTAGCTCCATTTTTTAATGTCATTAATATCTTATTGTAAGATGACATGACATACCTATAATTAGCAGAGTTCACATATTTTATTACGCAAACCATACTTACCTAATATGCCACTAAGTGCTAACATTCACCATCTAATCTATCTATGGCCAAATTCCCGGGAATTTCGAGCGCATTTCGTTCAGTGTTACCCCCAACACTTGTAATATCCCAGAATGCTCCTTGTCAATTATTTCGCCATCTTGTTTTCACGAAAGACGTAGTTTTTTTGTTGAGAATAAATTGCAAAATTAGAGTTCATCATGGACTCAGATCTGAATAAAGATCATCAAAAGGGTTCATCAGCGATCGATGAATCTAAAGAATCTACAAAACAAGACGAATCAGGGAGAGATGAGAGCTCAACAGGCAACGTTTCAAGGGGTTATAGTCAGTCCCCAAAGAAACGTGAACAAGAAAAAAGAAGACGGGGTTCTTCACGTAGCTCATCTCCAAGCGCTTCAAAGGGTCGTCAGTCCCGTAAGAAGCATAAGGTAACCCTTCATTCTTCTGAAAGGAGTGTTAAGTCTCCTATCAAAAAGAAATCTAAGAAATCTAGATCTAAAAAGAAAAAACAAAAAGCTCGTCATCATAGATCTAGATCTCCCAGTTCTTCTTCTGTGACGTCGTCATCTTTGTCACAGACTAGAAGACATAAACATAAACGTCGTAGACGTAGCCCTAGTCCCAATGGGTCCAGTTCTTCCTCTGTGACTTCGTCTTCTTTGTCACCTAAGAGAAAGAATAAAAGAAAACGCCATAGACCTAGTCGTAGTTCTCATCGTCGTCGTCGAGATTACAGGCGTTATTCTTCTCCCTCATCTTCATCAGACTTTTCAAGGTCAGATGATAGAAGAAGGTATTACAGACATCGTCGTAGACCCTCTATTGATTCAATTAGTCCATCAGAGAGAGGTAGAAGGAGACATCGTTTGTCCAAGTCTCCTTCACGACATAGTCATAGGCGCCGTAACAGGTCTTTTTCAGGACCACGTCAGTTGGTTCGTAGGTCCATTTCTACTCAACGGCAACCTGGTATTTCACATAACATCAGTCATTTTCCTCGCCAATTGTCACCCACACATTCTCCTGTTAGATTTGACAGAAATGTTATGGAACGAACTAATTCTATAGTAAGTTCAGAGATGAGCAAATTCTGCTCACCTCCTCATGTTAACAGAACTTCTAGATTAGACAACGACTTTGAAGAGGAAGATGATGATGTCATTGTGGATATGCCTTTGAGGGAAGAGTTTTCAAAGGCTATAAAGCAGGTACATGAAACTTTCCCAGACCTGATTGGAGACTTAACTCCATCAAGAGATAAGTATCAATCAAAGTCTCTCGTTAGAGACAAAACTCCAATTTCCTCGTCTTCGTTGGAATTACCTTTTTGTCCAGGGGTGAAACACAACTTAGAAGTTAATGCAAAGTTGTTCACAGAATTACCTCACAATGCCTTCAAAAAGGATTTTCACAATTTTGGTAATAAGCGTTTCAAGATCTCCAAAAAGCTTTATAAGGTAGTCCCTGAGACTGAGGCACAGGTCAAACCATGTGAGGTTGATGAGGATTTTTCAACCATTTTAGGTCCAAAGTTTCAATCAACAAGAAATCTCAGTGATAAAGATACTAAGTTACCAAATTCTGATACCAAGTTAGAACCACGTCCATTTATTAACTTGAAAAACGTATCAGAATGGGAATGTGTATCTAGAGAACAACTGTGTACAGCTTCTCACACAGAGTGGTTTGTTGGTTCTGTTCGACCTATTTTGGAAGAAATGTTGCAAGATGAATCTCTTGATAGTGCTTACAATGATAAAATTGATAAATGCTTAGCTTTAATAAAAGCAGCAGGGCATTGTATCGAAGATGGGTATAGACTAGGTTCCCACCTTCTTTCTCAGTTCGTTGGAGTACGTAGGCATTCTTTACTCAGTCTGAGAGCTGACAAAGAGACTCCTTTTTAGGAGATGAAGACAATGATGTGTCTTGAACCACATGCTGGTAAGCTTTTCCAGGGCAAAATTTCTGTTGTGAAAGATGCCCTGAGGGAAGCTAAGCAAGATAAAGCACAGAACCAGGTTCTAACCTTTACTGCCACAAATCAAGCCTCCAAGTCTTCTAATCCCAATCAGAAGAATACTAATTCTGGTAACCAGCCGTTTCGAGGTAAGGGAAGAGGCAGTAATCGAGGCAGGGGTAGAGGTTTCAAATCACAGTCCAACGATTTCCAAAAAGGAAATCGTGGGAAAGGACGTGGTAAACAACAGTGACTTGTTGAAGGTCGGAAACGTTTCCATTCTACCTGTACAGGTGTTTGTAGGCCCAGTAGGGGCAAGACTACAAAGCTTTTGGCCAAATTGGAAGTCAATAGTAACAAATCATTTTGTACTCAATATTCTAAAGGAGGGCTACTTTCTTCCCTTCATAAAGACCCCAAGTCTTACAAGAGTTCCAATTTGGTCAAATTACACAAACAATGTAAAAAGGGAAGCTATTTCCGACCTAATATCAAGACTATTGGCCAAAAGAGCCATAGTAAAGGTCACAGAGCTAGAGTCTCCCGGGTTTTACAGTCGGGTATTCATCGTACCAAAAAACCATCATACAGATTGGAGATTGATAACAGACTTATCCATCTTGAACACTTACCTTCACGTCCCAAAGTTCAAGATGGATACTATCGAGGTTATAAGGAAGCACATGAAACAAGGAATGTGGATGTGTTCCATCGACCTTGTAGATGCGTATTTGCATGTACCGATTGCAAAAACGCATCACAAATTTCTACGTTTTGCTGTAGAAAACACAGTTTACCAGTGGAGATGTCTCCCGTTCGGGGTATCAGTAGCTCCTTTTCTGTTTACTCAGATAGTTTCAGTGTTGAAAGTTCTTCTTCACAAGCAAAATATACTGATTTTTCAATATCTCGACGATTGGCTCGTTCTCGCAGAATCCAAGGAGATCTGCTCAAGCCACACACAGTTAGTTCTAGACCTAACAGAGAAGTTAGGTTTTCTGGTAAACGAGAAGAAATCAAACTTAGTGCCAACTCAAAATCTCGTTTATCTAGGATCAGGCTGCGATCTAAAACGAGGAGTTGTTCTTCCAACAATGAGTCGGAAAGACTTATTAAAACAGGAAATAGGGAATTTCCTGGCCAAACAGAAGCAAGAAGCTATAGTTTGGCAAAGAATTCTAGGTCTTCTTGCTGCCACAGAGAGATCCGTTCCTCTGGGACGTCTCTTTATGAGAGAGATGCAATTCAATCTTCAAACAGATTGGAATCAGTCTTGTCAGGATCAGTCAGTAGAGGTCCAATGGTCTCAAAAGACACAACAAGATCTAATTTGGTGGACACAAGATCAGAATTTGGACAAGGGAACACCTTTAGAGTTGCTAGTTCCCCAGAGAAAACTGTTCACAGACAGTTCTCATTATGCATGGGGGGCTCACCTAGAAGGTCAAGAGACATCGGGGATATGGACAAAAGGAGATTTAGATCTCCATATCAATCTAAAAGAATTGATGGCTATTCAAAAGAGTCTGGTGTTTTTCCAGCATCTTTTGATAGGCAAGGTAGTACAAGTAGCATCAGACAGTGTGACAGCTGTAGCCTACTTAAAAAACCAGGGAGGAACCCACTCTTATCAGATGTTCCTAGTTGCAAAGAATATTCTAATGTGGGCACACAAACATCAAATTCTTCTAATTGTCAGACATATCCCAGGTCATCTCAATGTAATTGCAGATTACCTATCGAGACGGCATCAGATAATTGCAACAGAATGGTCTCTGAATTATCAGGTCTTTCAGGATCTTTGCAAGATCTGGAATCGTCCTCTCATAGATCTTTTTGCAACGAGACACAACAACAAGATCCCAACTTTTGTGTCCCCAGTCCCAGACCCATTAGCATGGGACATGGATGCAATGTCCATAAATTGGACAGGCCTGTGGAGCTATGCATTTCCACCAACAGCCTTGTTAACAAGAGTCCTACAAAAGTTCCAGACTCACAAGGAAGTGCAAATGATTCTAATAGCACCTTGTTGGCCCAAGCAAAGTTGGTTTCCAATGTTACTGGATTGTCTGGTAGATCATCTGGTAAAACTTCCAATGTTTCGGAATTTACTGAAACAACCTCAAAGGATGATTTTCCACCAGAATGTTCAGGCTCTTCAGCTTCACGCCTGGAAAATATCCAGCAACATCTCCGAGAGAAAGGCTTTTCGGAAGAAGTTGCCAAACGTATCTCGAAACCACAGAGATCCTCTTCAGTTAGACTCTATGATTCAAAGTGGAAAGGATGGGTTGATTGGTGTAATACAAGGAAAATTAATCCACTCGAACCATCTGTGATTAAAATAGCTGACTTCTTCAATTGGTTATTTGAGTTCAAAGGTTTTCAACCGACTACCATTGCAGGATATAGAACTGCTATTGCTAATACCTTTAAGCAATTAGCTGGAGTAGACATTAGTTCTGATCCTATGTTAAAAAATCTCTTGTCTAATTTCAAACAAGAAAGACCAAGAAATTTGTCAGAGTTTCCTCAGTGGGATTTGAACATGGTTCTTCAGGGACTTATGAGACCTCCCTTTGAACCAATTGAATTAGTAGACATTAAATTTGTCACTTGGAAGTCACTGTTTTTGTTAACACTTGCTTCTGCTGCCAGGAGAAGTGAGATTCATGCCTTAGCTGTTGATAAGGTTTCACATACTCTAGACTGGCAAAAAGTGTATTTGGGTTTCAGTAGTGATTTTGTTCCAAAGACCTTTCTGAGAACCAAGAATATCGATCTCCTGAAAGATATAGAGATCAGTGCATTGTTAAACCCCGATTGCGCGGATGAACGTCTTCTTTGCCCCGTCAGGGCTCTGAAAGTTTACATGAGAAGAACCAAATCTATCCGTTCCTCTCAGAAGTTACTTTTCATTGCTTACAAGAAGAACTTTCAGAGAGACATCCACGTAAATACTATCAGTTCTTGGCTTAAACAATGTATTGTGAGAGCGCTGAAAGCAGTACCAGAAGATGTAGCTAGATTGGGAAAGATCAACATACATCAATTGAGAGCAGTAGCTACTTCTGTGGCTTTTCATGCCCATGCTTCTGTGGAGGACATTTTAAATTCAGGCAGATGGTCCAGCTTTAACACCTTCACAAACTTTTATCTTAAGGACTATTCAAGAAAGAATTCTGACAATTTGCATTTTTTGGCCGCAAACGTCAGAATTTGAGTGACTAGTAATTTGGTTGAATTAATTCGCCATAGATAGACAGTCAAAGTTTTGTTATATAATACTGGTATATTGAGTTAACCATGTATGTATATCATGATATAGTTATTAAGTGTTTTGTTTTGTCATTGTTTAATTTGTACAATAAACGTGACATTTACCCCAGAACTTGTATTAGTTTACTTAGTTCTTTAGTCCCTTAATTAAGGAAAAGTATGTTAGTTATCCTTGAAGAAAGGGTTGATCTATTTGCGGTTTGTTGCAAATTTATTCCCGTGGCGTTTCTGCTGATACCCACCGCCTTCTTGGCTGGGATTCAGCACTTAGTGGCAATATTAGGTAAGTAGTAAGGGTTTGCGTAATAAAATCTAAAAATTTAAAGTAATTTTAGTTTTTATTAGTAAACCATACTTACCTAATATGCCACTATTATAATCCCCCCCTCCTCCTCCGCTGAATCAGCAGTTTTCTGTTAAGATGTATAAGCGGAATAATTGACAAGGAGCATTCTGGGATATTACAAGTGTTGGGGGTAACACTGAACGAAATGCGCTCGAAATTCCCGGGAATTTGGCCATAGATAGATTAGATGGTGAATGTTAGCACTTAGTGGCATATTAGGTAAGTATGGTTTACTAATAAAAACTAAAATTACTTTAAATTTTTAGATTCACAAATTTAAACAAGGTATTCAGATTGACCTTGACCTTTTTACTGACTTTGAACCAGTCCGTAGTGTGTCCTTTTAGACGGTATATTGCCTCAAATGACAAATGTCTCAAATATTGAAGCCAATAATATTGACATTAAAGACAGAGCTCTCCTGAAAACAAATTGGACAAATCCACCAATGTTATAGGAGCTATCACCCAGACAGACACGAATGTATTCAATGGATGGACAGACAGACAGGCGTCCTCAAACTTTGTTTGATGGTATAATAACTCAAAGAATTACGATACAATTAGAATTATATAAATAATCAAACCTCCTTCCATCTTTGTTCGCAGGACACCCTGTACATTACTGGTGAATGTCGGATTGTGTTCCAATTCTTCCTCTGAGTCAGCTCTACTGTTAGCATCTCTAAAATACAAAAAAAGTACTATGGTTCCCTTTCAGAGGGGTTCTAATAGGTGTAATGGTCATTTCAAAATTGTACTATGATTCCTGTTCAGAGGTCTTCTTAATAAACATAATGGTCATTTCAAAATTTTCCTGCACCATTTAGTATACATAAATACGATATGATTATACAGAGTCATGTTCTGGGAAGTTTTAGGAGGAATTATGGCTCTGTACATCTCCCGAAGGACAATTTTAATTTTTCTTAAAGGGAAATAACATGAGTATTCAAAATTATTGCCATGTTGTGGCTGTGTACACAATAAGAATATCAAATTACCTTGGAGAGAACAATGCACCATCCCCACAAGGAGCTGTGGAAATGTAGAGGTGGAAAGAGATGCCATCTTTTACTTTAAATTTACCATCAGAGGGAGCTCTCTCTAGTATACATTCATCAGGATTGTTGGGAAATTTTTGGAGCTCTTTGTGAAGGAATCTAAAATGAATGGAAAAAGAATGGTATAACAGCTAAAACCAATCAACCTATAGGTGTAAATAATCAGTTTAATTTCAACAATTTTATGACACGTAATTTAATCATCTCATATTTAGTTATTTTGTAAGAGACTGACCAAAGATGGTCGGACGGATGATCCAAGACTTCACCCATGTGAACTAAAAAGATGGATGCTTAACATCTTGTATTATTTCACCTAAAATGAAAACCTGTGATACAATACCTCATAAAGCTTCGCCTTGTGATGATCTCAGCATGGGAGTCATTCACTGTGTCACCCTGTAGACTTAACTGTTGACCTGTGATACATCTGTTCCCTAGTGTGAAAAACACTTCAGTGAATAAACAGTAGATCATGTGTATCTGAACAATTCTGAAACATGAACATCTCTGAATATGAACTTTCAGTCCAAATATTTGCCAGATGCGATAGGTTTCACTATTTGTTCATTGGTCTATTCTTAGAAATTAGGTTTTAACTTCTTTAAATCCACATAGATATTTAAGTAAATATAAGTCCAGAGTTTTGCAACGTGGGCTTTGAGAAAACAGCCAATAAAATTGCTATATAACACGTCATGTACCAGTTCCTAAGCAGATTACAGTCCCAGCATCATCAGAGTTGAGTTTCATGATGAGTGCAGCCAGCACCTTGCGTCCCGCCATCCCTTCAGGTATGGTTGCAGCGATCACATTGAATGCTTGGTGGGCTAGAGCTGCTATCTTATCAAAGACAGTCACCTTGGCATTAGGGTTAAGTGCTTGCTGTAGAGGCTAAAACAAAAAGTACCATATGATGACAATTTTACGACTTCTTGCAAGCAATTTCACAAAGACCTATATTTGGCCAGCTGTTCTATAACACCCCTTGATGGCCTGTCTGGCCAATAAACAGCATTGTTAGTACCTCAGTTGAAATACTCGATTTTGATTGGTCAACGAGCGGTGAATAATTTTAACTGTACACCGCACAATGCATTGCCGGTGAATAATATTCCCAGCATTCCACTAAAATGACGTCATTGTCAGACGATAAAATGGCCGCCACTAGCCGTTTCAAAAATGTTGAAGATGAGGATATTATTAGTCTCTTAGAGAGTAAAGACAGTCAAAATACGAAGAAAAATCTAAAACTTTGTACAAAGCTTTTAGTGGACTTCGCCCAGGAGAGTATTTTGACTCCATTGAGTGAACTTACTGCCGTGGCAGATGTAGATAATTTTTTGAAAAAGTTTTACGTTGGTAAGAGAAAAAAAGACGGTGGACTTTATAAGTTGAAATCATTTCAGCTTCTTAAATGGGGAGTGGCACGATACATCAGAGAGACACTTAAGATGGACATTACCAAGTCTGAATTCAAGGCATCAAATGTTTTCAAAGCGATGGTTGTGGAACTGCAGAAGTCAGGAAAAGGTAAAACCACCCAAATCAGAAAATCTAAGATATTCTTCGGACTAACAAAACAATTATAGACCTCTCCATTCGGTTTACTGTCAAAATTATATCCCTCGACTGTAAACCTCGACCTACGGTCTCGGTTTACAGTCTCGGGATATAATTTTGACAGTAAACCTCTGGTGAGGTCAATAATTGTATATTGTATACTGCTGTTTATTAGCCAGACAAACCATCAAGGGCTGTTATAGAACAGCTGTTCCATCCATACTGAATGGAACATAGAAATTACATGAACAAGGAAAATATTAATCTACAATTTATCATTTCCAAATCATGGGTGAACATGGATGGTGATGACTTACACTTGGTTTCTGTACATCAGACACTTGGAATGATCCCTCGGCCATAAGGGTCCTCAAGGCAACATCAGCAGCCTCACGTTTCCCATCTTTCTTGTTCCTGGACACCACAGAGGGGAACCTCCTGTTGCCGGCAAATGATGCCACAATTGTAAACCTAAAGATAACATTGCAGGTTTGAACCTTCTACAATGATCAGTCAATAAGTGTTCTTCATATCCTGGTTTTTGAAATGGCCAGTGAACCTGTGAGAATGTTTGTGTAGTGGGGGTTGCACATTTCATTTTTTCATTTGGAGGGGGCGGGGGCAAATATAGCCAAGAAATCTTAAATAATTGACAATTCAGACCAACTACTTTATGTACCAGAAAACCAGTCCTCATGACCCCCAGGGAATTTAACATTCTAAAGGTATTTATGATAGGATATTCAAGATAGTGGCCACTTACTTTGGATTGTGAGGTGGCCCATGTTGTCCCACAATATCAATCTTCCCTGTCATCTTTCTGGACTGTGCAAACTCCATAAATGCACTTATGGGGTTCTTGTTGAGAACTGCAAATGCTTCTCCATTCAAGGCCTGCGCATTACTAGATGTAGAGGGCTGAACACTGATAGATGTGTTATCATCAGAGAATCCAAGAGAGCTTTGTAAGGAGTGCTGTGCAGCTAAGTTAGGATCAAAGGGTGTAGTCACTTTTCTAGGGTTCATCTCCATTAGGTTTGGAATCCCTGAATTAAAACTTGTAGACCCCATTGTTGTGGTGATACTATTAGTGGCTCCACCTGTTAATACACTTTGAAATTTTTGATTTAGATTCATCATGTCCATTGGTGACGCAGGAGGCCTGAATCCAGCTCCTGAACTACTTGCACCTTGTGTCATCTCTGTTGCTGGGAAGTTTCCTTCGCTACTATGATTTTTAAAAGTGAATGACCCAGATTCTGTCAATGCCCATGTCGGTGGAGACTCGACAATTTTTGAGATTACACCTTTCTTCTGACAAGCATACAACATCGGGTTGATTGCTTTCTTGCTCTTAAAGCCAAGACTTTTCGCAAGATCAGTAGCAGTACAAGTTTGTCCATTACATTTATTGAGTGCATTTAGGATTTTGTACTCTTGTTCATTTACCTTAACATTTGCACTGGCCACTGTGGTTTGTGGATCATCATCTACATGGCTGTCTTCACTGGTAGTCATTGTCACTTCACCATAATATTCCTCCTCAGCCATATCATCATTATCATCACCCTCATTAACATTACTAGAGTTTTCCACATCATCAGTAGAAGATTCAGTTTTCTCAATAACTTCTCCATAGTATTCTTCATCATCTTCAGTTGTATCAACAACATTTCCACAAGTTTCTCTACTGGTGTCGGTAAACTGCTCATATTTCATTGTGATACCATCACCATTATTCTGTGTAGATACATCATTGTCTTGTTGTGGTACATCATTGTCAATGGTCTGTGTGGATGGTTTATTTATCTCTTCTGAATCTGATTCACTTGTTTTCATTATTACTTCTCCAACATGGTCTTCAGGTTCCTGACATCCTTCATCATCATACTGACCAATTGCTGCAGTTTCTTGACTGACCTCATTATCACACTCTTTATTGTCTTCTATCATTGGATCAGTAGCTACTTCATCAATTTCTGTCTTTACAAGTAGAGGATTTGTAATAATTTCTGGTTGAACAACATTGGGTTCCTCTCCTTCTGTAGACTGTTCGTTGCTTGATGCTTTATCCTCATTATTTGTCTGCTGTGGAGTTTTGTTAGAAAGCTTTTCAAATTTAGCTATGGCATCCTTATTGAGTGTGTTGATAGACCAAATTGGAGGCATCAGCGGAACCTTTTTAAGTATTTTTTCCTTGTTCATTGCGAACAGAGTTGGGTTCACTTCACTTGGCGATGCCATCTTTAATTCTTTAGCAATATCTACAGCCTTCATAGGGAAACGACTAGCTCTTAAGATGGCAACAATTTTAGAAGCCAAATCACCATAAATGTCAACAACTGGCTTCGTAGCCTTTGGTAGAATAGAAGTCTGTGTTGGGTTCCAACTGGATGTTGTTGTTCTCCCTTCACTTAGACACATTTTCTTAGGGTTAGGACCCTGAGGGGACAAGGGCATGTGGCGTTTGATAGGTGGAGATGGAACAGAAGAGGATGTGTTAGATGTTTGGGGTTTACCTATTTGAGCCCAAGGAGGTTGGGGCATACTTATATTTTGTTGGCTAGATGTTGACATCATCATCAAACCTCTACCTCTCCCTTTGGAATATGCTGGTGTTTCATAAGAACTTGATGGCTTGGAAATTTGATTCTGCCCTAATTGTCTGGCCATATTAGACTGCATGGGAGGCGCAGGAGGGTTTGGAGGCATGGTACTACATTGTGGAACACCCACAGGGGAAGCCTCCTCAATGGTTTTATAATCACCTAGTTTAGATGCCTGAAGTTGCCATATAGGTGGCATCCCGGGAACTTTCTTTAGTAGCCCTGGGTTTTTCCGGTGTATTGCAAATATAACTGGATTCACTTCTGAAGCTGTCTGGCAGCCTATAGCTTTAGCAATATCTGGGGCTTTCATTGGGAATTTAGATTCCTTTAAAACATTCAATATCTTTTTGGCAGTGACATCAGATAGTCCACTCTTTAAACCTTTTGTCGACCTGTTTTGTGATTGTTCACAGTTTTGATTCAGAGTTGAACTCTGTGGCTGTCCAAAGTTCTGAGTTTGTCTTGAGTGTTGGTATTGCGACTGTTGATTGCTCACGGCTTGTCCAGAATTTCCCATTTGGGAATTAGAACTGTACGGGGTTGAACTCTGCGGCTGTCCAAAGTTCTGAGTTTGTCTCGAGTGTTGGTATTGCGACTGTCGATTGCTCACAGCTTGTCCAGAATTTCCCATTTGGGAATTAGAACTGTACGGGGTTGAACTCTGTGGCTGTCCAAAGTTCTGAGTTTGACTGGAGTGTTGGTATTGCGACTGTCGATTGCTCACAGCTTGTCCAGAATTTTCCATTTGGGAGTTAGAACTATAACCATCACGCATATTGTAAGGAGTACCCTGTAAGTTAAAATAAATCGATAAAAGATTTCAGCAGAGACATGGTTTATGCTCTAAAACATACTTAGACATAGTTTAGAACTAGGAATCTCAATTTGATTACATGGTCCCTTAGCAATAAAGACCATCGTATTATTCCTTATTGGAAATTGAAAGGCATACATGTACTAAGCCAATCACATATTGCACAACGTCAAGAGTGGAGCTTCAAACTTTGATCTTGTTTCTGCTCAGTTGGCCATATCCAATGCATTAACATAAACGGTTTGGCTGAGATTGAGACACAGTTGGCATATTTGAATTGTGATTATAACATAGCTAACCTGACTTGACTTGGCTGCCTGGCCCAACATCAATGGTGTCGGTCGAGTATTACTTGCAGAACTCTTATTTTGATGTGGAAATATTGGTACTGAAGACATGGATGATCTTGGCCCCCTAGCAGTTTCGTTTTGATGAGATTTTGTGTTTGAAATCAACTTCCATTGTGGGGGTACCTCCTCGACTTTTTGTATCACCCTCTCCCTTTGAAGTGTATATAACTGCCGATTTATATCCTTCTTCTGCCCTCCAACATTATTGCACACGTCTTGTGTCCGTATAATTGCGCCTGGTCGTGATTGAAAACACTGCAAGATTCTATTTTTGAGATCCATGTTAATATTTTACTTCCGGTTCAGCATACTAAAACACACATAGGTGTGTTAGATAAATCAACACTATTTAATATGGTGTCATCTGATTAAGTATTCAATTTATTGAATGAATCAAGGTGTTGTGTGTGTTCCATATTTCTAATAAGTTTTAATGATAAATCAGACAAGTACAAGCTCGCTGACTGTATTCTAACACCTAGGTGTATTTTAGTATCATCCGGTTTATCTTTGACGCGAATAATATGGACTATATAAATGTTCTATGTTTTACTCTAAACTCGCTAAATCAAACATAACATTTACAAAGATATAATTTCACACAGTTAAAGCTAAATTTGAGAATTGATTGTATCTACTACTTGGATATTTTTGGTTTTTTAATAGGCTAAATGAAACCAACCTGCATTTAGTCATGAAACACCAAAAAATGATTTTCGAATTTATTTAGAATCTAGTGTCATATTTTGAGAATTACAGCTATATCTGAGTGATATGAGTAAAATCTACGAGGCTTATTAAGTGAACTATAACTTACAACAGTTAACCATGGCAACTGGAGGAGATGGTGGTGCAGAAGACCATCCTTTAGCAGGAAGTAAATCAATCTTTTTTATTTACTTAGAAATTCAAATAGAATGGTGTAAAGGGGAGTCTGTACTGTAATAGAAGAATCTACTTTTCGCCATCGTGGTAAGCCACGCCCTCACCATCTCTATTCTTCTGTAGAGAGACCATTGTCTTCTGTTTACTTTGTTTCGATCTCTGTGATCCTCAAATCAAGCTTTTTCGAGCTCTCCAATCAGAAGCATGAAACGCGATGACGTACGTTGATTGACATGAGATTTAAGGTAACTTATAACTTAATCAAAAAATCCAAGATGGCCGAAACCAGGAAGCACATGGCATTTGAGTATAATCTGACCATCAAAATTAACTGTCTTTTGGTTGGATTTTCTCTCAATTTTTTAGTTCCACTTATCATTTATATAACCAGGCTCACTGTGGTAATGCAAATAGAAACAGTAAACATTTTGGAATGGGAATTTGAGTCCTCTGAAAATGTGACAGAAAAATTGACAAAAAGAGTAGCACGGCAAAGGTCCCTGAACATTTATTTTCTTATTTCTCTGAAACATCCCTTTAATATAGCCCAAAATGGAAGGAGCTTTAGAATTTTGAAATCTCTCATACAAATTAAAAAAAATAGAAAAAAACTATTAGAGAAGTGTACTTTTTTCCTTATTTTGATCCCAATTTTTTTATCGGGTAATTTTTCAAATTTCCATTGCTCCTTCGTTTTTGATATATGTTTGAAGTATATTTTCTGAAATGTTCAGATATTTTGAATCAGCGGTTTTTCACGGGCTACTCCTAGAAAAAAATCTTCTCAAATTCTTTAAACGGCACTTTTTTCTCAAACTAAAGTTTTTTGTTGTTCTTTGATGTCTTTGTAATGATTTCAAGATTGTGAAATTTTCAATTTTTTCTGAAAATCGATTAAGTTAACAGTCACCTTAAGTGTGCGGTAGGTGCTGCACATCAGTCCAACACAACACAAAGAATGGCATCGCTAGTGAGTCTATTCCATCATAAAATTGAAAAAAGCAAGATAATACACACATGCCTTCATACAGTGGGGGACAAAAATAAAACTCAACGTTCACAAGTTGTTACAATGAGCTAATTTCCAAGTTTCGTGTCTCAAACTCTCCCAAGCGGTAGAAAAATAATTCCCGTTCACTAAAGTAGCACAATAACTGAATACAAAGCTTCATACCTGCAAATAATGGATAAATCCCTACCAATTCGAATGAATGTTTTCATGAATCGCCATGTTTGTTATCCAAGGAAGGTTGACTCCCAGAATGCAACATCAGTTACCGTATTTACTCATGACAGGTTTCAAAATGGCGGAACAGCATTTTGAAAGCTGGCACGTGTCATGTTGCATTCTGGGAGCCAATCCTCCTTTCCGGCGCAATCGGGCGACAAAATCACCTCAACATTTGAAGAGTCGGCATAACATGTGAATATCCACTTCAACTTTTGAAGTTCTTATTTGTCATTAGGGACACAAATTCCACTATACTTGGACTTACTCAGACGGAGAAAATAGAGCACTGAATACACTGAGGTAAGAATTTATTACATGTGCGACAGCATGTAATTTTCATAGCTTTTGCAATTCTTTATGATCCCACTGTAATTAATTTTGTACCAGAAAATAATTAGGTGCAGGTGTAGCAATTTTTTACCAAAATGTCACTTTCCAACTGAACCTTAATGGCGTAGTAAAGTGCTCACCATAAATAAATGACACCTGGATTTTCTATCACCATTTCCACACAAAAACACAAAAACTCAATAATTCCTATTGGCGAGTAAAAATTTTAATTGGCGAGTGTTAATTATTCCTCACTAGACAAATTGTCTTGTAAGGTAAAAATCTTATTTCACGCATTGCATTTCTAATGATTTGTAAAAGATCTCAGTGAACTATTATTATGAGTGTTATTATTAGTGCATTATTACATAACATGTTTTCAGGAGGAAATAGAAGACAACCCCTACATCGACATTTGAGCAGGGATGACATTGGCAATCAAGCGCGATATTTACTAAATGACTTTATCCATCATCGCATGCAGAGAGATGGTATAGAAGATATACCTGATGATCTCATAGCACCTGGGACGCCTAGGGGTAAGAACAAATGTTACAAAGCAAAGACAACCTTTCCAAGAATTCCATTTGATGTTCTGAACACATAGTTTCATTTCAATTATCTTTAAGTACTTGTGAAAGCTGTTAATTTTACTCAAAGCAATCATAAGAAAATTTAAATCAAAAATTGTCCATGTTATTTTCCCATGTAAAGACATTTTTGCCTGTTATCCATGTCCATGTTAAATTGTAGGTCCCCATATAGATCGGATGAAAGAGGTGGCTGACACACTCAGGGAGATTGGAGATCAACTTGATGGAGATGAACGTCTTCAACAGTATGTACACAGCTCATATATCTGGCCTGTTGATGTCCTATATTTGAAATTTAGCGTCGGGGTCATGAAGTAAATTTTATACACTTTTACACTCATACTACCATAAGTTGAACTTAGTGTGATGGATATTTTATCTAAGGGAGAAACTCCTGAAAATGTAAGTTCATCAAACTATCTAAACCTCCCTGGTCTGAAAATAAGAGGAATATATGTTGAGAAAACTATTAATCTGAAGTGTGAAGATTTCAGGCTCAGAATACAGACCACACACGACTTCTCAAATACATGATTGTGAGTACAGTATTTGGACTGAAAGCTAAATTTCAAATTAACATAACAATCAATATTAGATTTGGATTCTCCAACTGATTGATCAGATTGCCTCATCTGTATGTTACAGAACGATATTGCCCTATCTGTATGTTAAGACTGATATTGCCCTATATGTATGTTACAGATCGATATTGCCCTATATGTCTGTTACATATCGATATTGCCCTATCTGTATGTTAAGACTGATATTGCCCTATATGTGTGTTACAGATCGATATTGCCCTATATGTATGTTACATATCGATATTGCTCTATCTGTATGTTAAGACTGATATTGCCCTATATGAATGTTACATATTGATATTGCCCTATCGGTATGTTACATATCGATATTGCCCTATCTGTATGTTACAGACTGATATTGCCCTACATGTATGTTACAGATCAATATTGGCCTATCTGTATGTTACATATCGATATTGCCCTATCTGTATGTTACAGACTGATATTGCCCTATATGTTTTTTACAGATCGATATTGCCCTATATGTATGTTACATATCGATATTGCCCTATCTGCATGTTACATATCGATATTGCCCTATCTGTATGTAACATATCAATATTGCCCTATCTGTATGTTACAGACTGATATTGCCCTATATGTATGTAACAGATCAATTTTGCCCTATCTGTATGTTACAGACTGATATTGCCCTATATGTATGTTACAGATTGATATTGCCCCATATGTATGTTTGTATGTTACAAACTGATATCACCCTATCTGTATGTGACAGACTGATATCGCCCTATATGTATGCTACAGATCGATATTGCCCTATCTGTATGTTATATATCGATATTGCCCTAGATGTATGTTATAGATTGATATTGCCCCATATGTATGTTTGTATGTTACAAACTGATATTGCCCTACATGTATGTTACAGACTGATAGCTGCTGTGCCTCCGGAGTGCCCAGAAGAAACATTTATGAAAGTTGCTAAGGAGATCTTCAAAGATGGTGTGTTTAACTGGGGTCGTGTTGTTGCACTCTTCTACTTCACTTTCAAAATGGCTGTCAAGGTGACTTCATCTATGATTTCTTCTACTGTATAATTATGCTGTGAACTACCTATGCTAAATGTCGGAAAATGTTAAAACACTGTATTGCCTTTGAGACACATTTACGCTACAAGTATACTCAGAATGGGGACCCAAATCATGGGCTTTTCATGAAAGCCCATGAGAAAAGCCCATACCCAAATGCAAAAATTATTTAGTCAATAGTCTTGCCTTTAATATTATAATCAAATTAACAATATTTCTTATATTTTCACAGCTATTTCTGCAAATATCTCTCACAATTTCTTTTGCTATTTGGAGCATGAAACAAGGATTTGAACCTAAGCTTTTGCTTCAAAATGAGTGTCGCTTGCACCAGCGATAAGCTTTGATGAGAACTTTTGTTTTTTTATTATTTGTAAATGTCAAAATGATTAATTTTGCACTGAAATGGATCTTTGAATGTAATTGTTTTAAAAGATGCTCTGAGCATACATACATGTTCATACAAGTATAGCACTTGCTTCTGTTCAATTTCAGGCTGTAAGAAATTCCCTTAACAGGATTCCACTTATTCGCACCATCATGGAGTGGGTCGTACATTTTATACGTGACCATGTTGCAGCTTGGATAATAGAACGAGGAGGCTGGGTGAGATTTACATTAATTAAATTAGCTTTTTAAAAGACATTTATGACCATTGTTAAGTTTTCATCATCATTAATATAAATTGTGCTATTTATTAAAACATCTGGAAATTATTCATTAATGAAAATTTTACAGATAGTATTAGCTTCAGATAAATATATTTCCACTATTGTCATTTTTTTTCATTTTTCATTTCAGGAAGCAATCAGTGAATATTTTGGAACTCCAATGGGACAGTTCTTAGGAATATTTGCCAGCGCAGCTCTAGTCACAGCTTACATTCTCTATAAACACTCACGGTGATTGTAGGACATTCTCTATAAACACAATCATTGTGGTCATTCTACCATGGACATTCTCTATAAACACAATCATTGTGGTCATTCTACCATGTACGTTCTCTATAAACACAATCATTGTAGTCATTCTACCATGGACATTCTCTATAAACACAATCATTGTGGTCATTCTACCATGGGCATTCTCTATAAACACAATCATTGTGGTCATTCTACCATGGACATTCTCTATAAACACAATCATTGTGGTTATTCTACCATGGACATTCTCTATAAACACAATCATTGTGGTCATTCTACCATGGACATTCTCTATAAACACAATCATTGTGGTCATTCTACCATGTACGTTCTCTATAAACACAATCATTGTAGTCATTCTACCATGGACATTCTCTATAAACACAATCATTGTGGTCATTCTTCCATGGGCATTCTCTATAAACACAATCATTGTGGTCATTCTACCATGGACATTCTCTATAAACACAATCATTGTGGTCATTCTACCATGGACATTCTCTATAAACACAATCATTGTGGTCATTCTACCATGGACATTCTCTATAAACACATTCATTGTGGTCATTCTACCATGGACATTCTCTATAAACACAATCATTGTGGTCATTCTACCATGGGCATTCTCTATAAACACAATCATTGTGGTCATTCTACCATGGACATTCTCTATAAACACAATCATTGTGGTCATTCTACCATGGACATTCTCTATAAACACAATCATTGTGGTCATTCTACCATGGACATTAGGGTGGTCCAAAATATGGCGAAAAACCAACTTTCTTTCGGATCATCTTCCTCATTTGACTTACTGTTGTCCATGACCTAAAACACCTGCACACCAAATTTTAAGACCCAAATCCCATGGGAAATTTACCCACGCTTCGACTGAAAAATTCGGTTATTTCATGATTTTTTGCTATTTTCGATAAATTGCCATCTCCTTTTTCCTGGTATAAAATGTTTCTATTTTTTCATAATAAACATTTTTGTAGGACTCTTTATTACTTTATAATACTAGGAGCCCAAACACCAAATTTTGAGACCCAAATCTCATGTGAAATTTACCCATGCTTTGACTGAAAAATTGTGATTTTCCCAGTTTTGTCCGATTTTCAATAGATTACTGTCTCCATTTTCCTGGTATAATATGTTTCTATTTTTTCATAATAAATATTTTTGGATTACTCTTTATTACTTCATAATACTAGGAATCCATACACCAAATTTTGAGACCCAAATCCCATGGGAAATTTACCCATGGTTTGACTGAAAAATTGTGATTTTCACATTTTTTCCGATTTTCAATAAATTGCTGTCTCCATTTTCCTGGTACGATATGTTTTTATAATAAACATTTTTGAGGACTCTTTATTACTTCATAATACTAAAAACCCATACTGAGAACGTTACCCATGTTTTGACTGAAAACTGGTGCTTATGATAGCTTATGATGTCTGTTTTAGGGGCATAAAATGTTAATAAACATTATGGTAATTCCTTCTTAATCCAAAGAAACACCTCAATATCAAGACTTTAAGTCTTATTGAAAGGCGACAAATTCAGTAGTTTGGGGAAAATTTAGGATCTTTTACTTGTACATTTATATACTGTGGTTAATATTAAGAAGTGATGACTCGACAGCAACTCAAATGCCTTGAAGATTTGGTTTGTTGGTTTCAGTAGGGATACATCACAGGACTTTGTTTGGATTTGTGTGAGATGTCATATTCTTTCTCACATCTTTGCAGGGTAAGGTCAAATATCAAATCTGATTTTCTTTGGAGAAATGATTTTTTGATTGATCAATGTATCAATGGCATGGTCTCTGTTGTAACCAGTAAGCCTGTACCAAATCTTCAAGGGATTCGAGCTTCCACTGAGCTTTGTCATTTCTCTGAAAATGTTCATGCCCTGAAAGTACACAATGTAGAAGATAGGAAGAGCAATGAGAAACACTTAAGGTAATTCTGTATGTTCAGAAATTTTAAGTGGAGTCCAATGTTATTTCTGGAACTCATTCCATACTTGGTCAGCTCTTTCAATTTTACACTGAGTTCAAATATGTATTTAGATTATTAGTTGATGGTTAGTAATTTTCTATAATGTACTATGTGCTATGTTTATACACTGTTTGTGCATCTGAATGGAATAAGTTATGTGTTCCTGAAAAAACACGGGGCTCCAATTAGGAAGCCATTAAAACTGAAAATAAGGAATTACCTTAAAGTACTATATAACCATCTTTCACGATGTAACGTATGTAAGTCCAAACAGGATAATTAAGACAACGTGTAATACAATTTATTACAAATTGCACATCACACAACAATGATATGGTGCTCTAAACGACAAAAATCAAAAGTATATGATCAAAGCAAACGTGAATTTCCCATGGGGTTCAGGTCTAAACATTTGGTACATATTAAATGTATGGGTTCCTAGTATTAAGAACGTTAAATGTTTAAAAACTAAATATAAGATTAATGTTGATCTATTGAAAATAGGAGAAAATTCGCAGAAAATCACAAATTTTGGGTTGAAGCATGAATTAATTTCTCATGGGGCCAGGGTCTCAAAATTTGGTGCATATTTGGGGTATGGGTTCCTCGTATTATGAAGTAATAAAGAGTCCTCCCAAAATATTTATTATAAAAAATAGAAACATACAGACATATAATACCAGGAAAATAGAGATGTATTGTATTGTATATGAAATAATCCAATTTTTCAGTCGAAGCGTGGGTAAATTTCCCATGGGATTTGGGTCTCAAATTTTGATGTATGGGTTCCTAAGTATTATGAAGTAATAAAGACTCATCAAAAAATATTTATTATGAAAAGACATCTACCATTTTATACCAGGAAAATGGAGATGGCAATTTATCGAAAATAGCAAAAAAATCATGAAATAACCGAATTTTTCAGTCGAAGCGTGGGTAAATTTCCCATGGGATTTGAGTCTCAACATTTGGTATATGGGTTCCTAGTATTATGAAGTAACTAGAGATTTAAGATTGCAAGCAATCTTACGGAGGCCCTGTAGGCGTTTTTGGCAATTTGAAGGTCAGCCAAAGGTCAAATCTCAAATCTAGGGTCATATACTAACACCAGGCAACTTGTAGATGATTTAAAAAAAAAGTTTGGTCAATTTGAAGCAAGTTGAAATTTAGTCTTGAAAAGTTTGGAAATTTGACCTTTTTTCAGTTTTTGAGTCCTAATATCTCAAAACTGGTACACAATTTTAATAAATAGTCAATTGCTAATATGTGTAGAAACTATAAAGGAATATATATCCTGACTTTCATGAAAAAATATTGATTTGTAGTCACCAAAACTTAGAAACTTCGAAAACACAGTTGGTGATTTAATTTGATGACCTTGACCTTTGATCTTGCAAATTTTACTTTAATTCACCTCAGTAGCTCTTTTGTGATCAAATATACCTAAATTTGAATCCAGAAAATCGATTTAAAAAATCAACTTTTTTTCCCTTCCGAAGGTCAACCAAAGGTCAGGGGTCAAAAGTAAGGTCAGATTTGGATTCCTGAGATCCTGTAGATGCTTTTTTAAAAAAGTTTGGTCAATTTAGAGCAAGTTGAAATTTAGTCTTGCAAAGTTTCGAAATTTGACCTTTTTTCAGTTTTTGAGTTCTAATATCTCAAAACTGGTACACAATTTTAATAAATAGTCAATTGCTAATATGTGTAGAACCTATAGAGGAATATATATTCTGACTTTCATTTAAAAATATTGATTTGTAGTCTCCAATTTTGAGAAACTTAGAAAACACAGTTTGTGTTTTCATTTGATGACCTTGACCTTTGACCTTGCAAATTTTACTTTTTTAGACCTCAGAAGGTCTTTTGTGAATAAATATACCTAAATTTGAATCCAGAAAATCGATTTGAAAAATCAATTTTTTTTACCTTTCAGAGGTCACTGAAGGTCAACCAAAGGTCAAAGGTCAAAAGTAAGGTTAGATTTGGAATCCTGAGAACTTGTAGATGAGTTTTTTAAAAAAAAATTGGTCAATTTGAAGCAAGTTAAAATTTAGTCTTGAAAAGTTTCGAAATTTGACCTTTTTTCAGTTTTTGAGTTCCAATATCTCAAAACTGGTACACAATTTTAATAAATAGTCAATTGCTAATATGTGTAGAACCTATAGAGGAATATATATCCTGACTTTCATGAAAAAATATTGATTTGTAGTCTCCAATTTTGAGAAACTTAGAAAACACAGTTTGTGATTTAGTTTGATGACCTTGACCTTTGACCTTGCAAATTTTACTTTTTTAGACCTCAGAAGGTCCTTTGTGATCAAATATACCTAAATTTGAATCCAGAAAATCAATTTGAAAAAAACGACTTTTTTTACCTTTCGAAGGTCACCGAAGGTCAACCAAAGGTCAGAAGTCAAAAGTAAGGACATATTTGAGTTCCTGAGATCTTGTAGATGATTTTAAAAAAAAAATCTGGTTCATTTGAAGCAAGTTGAAAAATGACCGATTTTTGCCGATTTTTGGCGTCAAATATCTCAAAAACGGTAAAAAATTAACGCGTACATATAGTGAGCAATTTGTAGAGAATGCTTATATCTAGTTACATTTTAATTCATCGCAAGAAATAATGAAGTATGAGGACGAAATCTGAGAAACTTAAAAAAAACTTTGATTTGACCTAGATTTTGACCTTTGACCTTGACCTAGATAAAAATTCCTTTCCCGGTAAGTTCAACCTAGTACCCTAGTAGGTTCATATAGTAGATAGTTGAAATCTAGTTAGAAGTAGGAGAAAAAGTGCAGAGAAGAATAAAGAATAATAATAAAGAATAAAGAATAAAGAATAAATAATATCTATAAAATCTATAGGAGGCCCCCTGTCGGGGGGCCTCCTAATAAAGAGTCCTACAAAAATGTTTATTATGAAAAAATAGAAACATATTATACCAGGAAAAGGGAGATGACAATTTATCGAAAATAGCAAAAAATCATGAAATAACCGAATTTTCCGTCGAAGCGTGGGTAAATTTCCCATGTGATTTGGGTCTTAAAATTTGGTGTGCAGGTGTTTTAGGTCATGGACAACAGTAAGTGAAATGAGGAAGATGATCTGAAACAAAGTTGGTTTTTCGCCATATTTTGGACCACCCTAATGGACATTCTCTATAAACACAATCATTGTGGTCATTCTACCATGGAAATATTTTATAAACACTCAGTGATTGTAGTAATTGTACCATGGATATTCTCTGTAAACGCAATCACAAGCAATTGTGGTCATTGTATTATGGCATTTTCCAATCAGTCATATATGATTGTAAGTCAGTGATCTTCCCAGATTTTCTCTTCTAAATGAGGTGCTAAATCCTAATTTAACCTGTTTTATCAAAATATCTCAGTATTTTTATCATTTTGACATGGCACAAATAGATTTTAAAGGTGAACACTATAAGCCAATTGTGTAATTCATCATGAAAGCATGTATGCTACTGTGATGACTGGGTATTTATGGGTCTGGTATATAGGCCTATAAAATAAATGGCATAGTTTGAAAAGTCCTATTTGATACTAGCCCATTAAGATCATATAAGAGCTCTCCTCCATGACCATCGTGTTGTATATCATAATGAAACTGATCCACACATTGAATTCAGTGGTTTGCTGAAGTCAACACCTAAACTTGCAAACAAATACTTGAAGATGTTAAAACCAGATTTCTGTCCCGAGTACTTTTTGTACTTTGTATTTCTTTTAAAAATGTATTTTATGTACTTGCTTATTATGTCACCACTTCTTATGGTGACACATTGTTATGTCACCACTTCTTGTGGTGACATATTGTTATAGTCTCTAACTTTTTTTGTGGACAGTGTCGAGCAGTCAGTGTCTGTAACAAATGGCAAGTGGTGCCATTTTGCATTTTAATGCCTTGTTTATTCATTATCTATATTACTCTAGTTAGATTTTAGAACAATTATTATTACATTGTGCCATAATCTCAGGTAACATCCACATCCTGATGATGACTCTTAGTTCAAGCAGCTCAGAGTATGAACTGGATGTGAATACTGCCCATGATAGAAGTTATTCTATGCCATACATTGACCTGATAAAATACTGCACATTGACATAAAGAGAAAAATGTGTACTGTCATGACTGTAGACTACAAATGTGTTCATGATGCTTTTTGAACAATTTTGATATATAGGTGGAGCACACATATCTCTAAAGTTCAACATTAACTGTATTATATGGAAACTGATAGACTGATTGGGTGACAAAATTTAGTGTTTAATGTTTTATTAGATAGAATTTTTGTAAATTATGGAAATGAAATTGATCTCAATATATTGTATTTGTGTTTATTCAATATTTCTAGCAATATGT